TTCTTATTTTATTGTCCAGTTTTATCGTACACCTTTCAATTTCCATATAGAATAAAATATTTGTTAACTTTTAAAGCATGTATATGAAATTTTGGTCAAATATTTATACACGTCATAAATCTATTTAATACATCCATCTTCATATATAATAACTGAATTATGTAACTATAAATATACGCTTCCTGCGCAATCCGAGAGCTCAATAAAATCAGCAAAATATAATAAAATGAGGAGAGGAATAAAAAAGGGATCAATGAACTCACTTTTATTGAATAAAAACATAAAGAAAGAGGAAAATAGAAATAATTTATTAGTACTGGAATAGGAATTATGGGTCGCTGGCGACACTGCACAGTTTCCAGCCTGAATAGAAATAGAAGCAACTGAAATTCAGATGAATGTTGAAAGGAATACCACCGATACCTATAAATGAGAGCAAGCAGCTGATATAATTCAAATTGAACAAATGGATATAGATTTCCAATATGAGCCACGACGATAGGTGACATGCACGTATATACAGGGTGGCCCAACGAAAACGTAACAGAGCCCATAGCGGCTAGGAAAAATTTTTTTGGAAAAACGCAAAAACCCGTCGATTTTGTTTGCGAGAGGGACATCTTTTTGCATGAATTAGATGGTTCTAACTGCTACCCCCTGAGCGGGGTAATCATCACCTTCAAATTTTTAAATGGAAAAGGTGGTCAAGTTGCATATCGTTCAAAAGCTCTTTTAATTCTCTACACAGTCATGTGCCACTTTTGAAAATCAGCCTATTTTTGTAAAAGATACAGGGTTTTGAAAGCAAATTTTTGTTAATGAAATTTTATTACAGTAAATGTTCAAAATGTTGGCCCCCTGCGTCCATGCAATTATAAAGATTTTGTTCAAAACGTTGTCTTACATTCTAGAGCATTTCAAGAGTGACTAGATGACATTCTTTAATGATACGTTGACGTAGATCTTCCAGAGAGTCCGGTTGGGTCGCATAGATTTTGGTCTTCAGGTGTTCCCACAAAAAGTAGTCCAATGGGCTTAAATCTGGGGATCTAGGAGCACCTCTCCTACCTATCCAACGATTCGGAAATGTATGGTTTAAGAATTCGCGCACATGGTGGGCATAGTGGGGGGAGCCCCGTCTTGCTGAAACATCAGTTCATCTTCGAGGTAATCATTATTGTTTTCCACCACAATTACCGTTAAGGCTGGATCAATGGCTTCTTGCAGCAATTCCAAATACATATCATCAGTCAAATTATCGTTTATAAAAAAAGGACCAACAAGGGAATCACCAAAGATACCAGCCCAAACATTTAATTTTTCTGGGTGTTGAGTATACTGTTCGTGGAATATCCTTGGATGGGAGTCTGCCCAGTAACGGCAATTATGGCGGTTGACGGTGCAATTTAGGAAAAAGCTGCACTCATCGGAAAAACAAATGTTGAATAGAAAATTTGGATTATGCATCGCCCGTTCAGTCATGACCTCGCAAAATTGTACCCGGCGGTCAAAGTCATCTTCTTGAAGTTCATGGAGAAGGTGAATTTTGTAAGGATGGAACTTGTAATGTTTTAAAATTCGTTGTACACTACACCGACTTACACCACTTACAGAAGCCAATTGCCGTGTACTTAGCCTATGATCTAATCTAAAGCAATGTGTCCCAGAACTGCAACCTCCACAGCTTCATTACGTACAGGACGTTCATTGTTTCGCTTTTATTGCCCACAGATCCCGTCTCCCGGAATTTTCTTACTAACTCCAAGACAATTTTGCGATGGACGTGTTTATTGGCATGTCGTTCAGTAAACAACTGAGCTGCTCTCGAAGCACATTCGTTATTTTTATAAAATAATTCAATTATTTCCACCCTCTCTTGCATCGAATAAACCATTTTTAATTATTTTGTATTTAATGCGAAACAGCCACTAAAACCACTAACACCACTTTATGACAAAATCGCTGACTGAAAAATGATCTCTTATCTATACCGTTTTTAGTGGAATTTGTGAAAGAAATAACTGCAAACAATATAACAACACGTTGGAGTAAGTAATGAGAATAGTTCACGTAAAATTATTTATTATTGAATGGAAGTTGCTGGTCAATTATTTCCAGCCATTTGGATATGTTTAGACGCTTCTTTAACTTATCGATTTTGAAATTAATAGCGAACTCGATAGCGAATTTTATTTAGAGAATAATTTGTAGAGATAATAGGAAATTTTGTATGTGTCAAGTTCTGCACCCTTTATCTTTTAAAAAAAATGGGTTGATTTTCAAAAGGTACCCATGACTGTGTAGAGAATCAAACGAGCTTTTCAACGATATGCAACTTGACCATCCTTCCTATTTAAAAATTTGGAGGGGATATTTACTCCGCTCAGGGGGTAGCAGTTAGAACCATCTAAATCATGCAAAACAAAATCGACAGGTTTTTGCGTTTTTCCAAAAAAAGTCTGTTACGTTTTCATTGGGCCATCCTGTATAGTATTCTGCGATTAACGAAGTACTACACAGGCACTGGATTGCTTTTAATGAATGAGTAGTTAATTTTTAAAAATATCGAGACAATCTACTGTACGATTCATAATAATTATATATATATACTTGTTATTTTATCAAAAACAAAAATATTCATATCTGCCTACCACATATTATAAAGTTGCAGGTATACACAACGTATTTGTCGATTGGAATTTGACAATTTAAAGAACTTTTTATCAAAATATTATTTGAGGACCCAAAACGAAACTGCTTTTGTATTAATGAGTAATACCACAAAACTGCCTACACAAATTTGTTTGAATAATTACTGGGTCAAAGTGTTACCTGTAAATATGTATAAAAGAGATAATTACAACAAAAGTATGTTTCGAAAATAACAAAAAAAAAACGAATAAGTTACAAATTTCTCGCTCGCAGCATACTTAATCTGAATCCTTACCATCTTCATATATTTTCCCTCAGTAAGATTAGCGTTGTGACGTTAGCTGCAAGTAAACATACTCGTATTTACCTCATAAATATTATATTTTGTACATACCTACATCTGCGTTATATTTGCGAGAAGGTAAACATATTTGTTTAGCAAATAACCATAGGTATATTTACATCAATTTTCCTTAGTTAGCATAAGAGGTTTGACAGTTATTAAATTAAATAGGTACGTAATAATATATCCTATTTACTCGACAAATAAATTTTTATATTTAGAATAAAATAAAACTCATTAGTCCTACAAAATTCTATTTATAATTGTACGTTATTAGGCCAAATATTATTATAAACAAAGGATCTATGTTTAGCAACATTAAAAGAGAGTACACAGATGGTTTTCATGATTATTTTAATACATTGTTTATTGATTAACTTTCACTGAATATTGAATCAACTAAAATCGATTTGTAATACTGGAATAATCGTTTCAATGTGGCGGAGCAAAGACGAGTTCCAATAATAATAATAATCTGATTTTAATTTGACCGATTTGTTTTTGAACAGGAAAAGTTGACCATCGATCGATCAACTTTTTAATCACACACTTTATTAAAAATTAATCCCCTGTTTAAGTTCTAAAATGATGCTGAATCCAACTGTTAGGTAGTTGTAGAAATATTAGCAGTTTTGTTAAATAGTTATGAATAGAATACGCAAAAAAAATTAGAGAAAATTGAAAGTGAGTAGATTGGTAGTACACGCTTGATGGATTATGAATTATGGATTTTTCTGTTATTACATGCTGCAACAATGTTTGTAAGGTTCTTAATATATTTTTTGGTACTATCGAATATTTCGGTAGATTAATTTGATATGCCCATCACTGAACATAGCTGGCTTAACTAATGTCCTAATAACAGCAATGCAACAAAATTGCTACAAGATAATAAAATAAATATAACTAAGCAAAAGTCTTTAAATTTATACAACTACCAATTTTGTAGGGAATCGCGTCATGGCGATTCTTCCCGAAGAAGATCGATTTTTAAATCGGTTCAAATGGAAGCTGAAGAATCTATTCATAAGAACATGGAGATCTAGAAGATCTCAAAAATCGAACTTTTTCCGATTTCTTTTTAAGGTTTTGTATGGAAAACAAAAAAGACAGTAACCCAAAATAATCTATCTTTCTTATAAGTGGGTCAAAGTGAGTAGTTATTTATAATTTAACAATCTATTTTATCATGTTTTATTAAAGAACAAAATAATTATAGTTCTCAGTACTTCATGTTCAAGCTTTTGTGGAACAAAAGTCTGTCCAATCTACTGGAATCTAATCGATTCAGCTCATCAATTGCAATGTTGCCGGTTATCGAAAAAATATGCTCGCAAGGTGCAAATGATTCTACAATTCATATAAATAATTAAACAGTCAAATAAAACTTAACTTTAGGGTAACATCGTAACAAGCGATAAAACACAGTATCGCCATCTATCAAGTTTATAGTTAATTATGTGAAGAACTGTCATTTCTTCACATGTGTTTTGGTGCGCTCAACTAATTGTAAATAATTGTACGGTTGCATTCTTAACGAAACAGAAAAAAATCGAATCTCGATTGCTTAATATCGATTAAAAAATCGATTTTCATGGCCCACTGAATTGATTCTTCGATTAATCGATCTCAGTCATAACGTGACATCAACGTTAGGCTTTTTTTCGCGAGTAAAGTCGTATGTTGTAGTATGTGTAGTATGACTGAGTGAAGAGAAATAGTAATTATAAGTCAGATACTCACCAATATTCAGTCGCGAAAAAAAGCCTGTTATACACAATGCGCAAACATACGTTTAAGGACACTGCAAAACAAAGCTTCATCCTACCTTTATTTTTTATTCTCTAGTGCCTCTTTTGATATTATAATATATTCTGTTTCCATATTTGCATAAAACTAATTATGATATTAATGAAAACATTATCAAATCTTCATTATTAACTAAAATCGCATTCTATTAGAATAAAAACGCTTTAATATCTCACTGTGTTCTCTTTTTTTACAGTTACATACCCACGAAGTGGTAGAAGTCTGCGCGAAGATACTGTACCAAGTGGAGTTATCTCGGAACACGCTGGAGCAAATGTGGGGATTCAGCGTGGAGGCAGAGCTCGTGGAGAACGCTGACCGCCAGGACGAGCTTTGTTGTTATGTCAGCCGCGTGGAAGATAAAAGTGTCGCCATGCAGAACGGTTCGTAATTTATTCTCCGTTTTTGGTTTACTTTTATTTAGGCGCGATAAGAATGAAATATCCGCTTGCTGAAATATGCCGGCGGTAATGGATACAGCAGTCACTTTGTTGCGTTTACACACACTTTTGTGGAATAAAGCTTCTGTTTATGAAACAATATTTGCAAAATTACTTAAGTTTATGTTATGGAACAGAGAATGTATCATAAGAGGCGATAAGTTGTACTACTTCTAACAAATCGCATCAGACAGCTTTATAATATTTAAAAAATATATATTTCTTCTTGTGATTAATGATTTAATTTCACAGTAATTCTATTTCTTTCATGTTGGCAATTAAATTTCAGTAAAATTAAGAATTAAATTAAAAATTATATTAAAATAGGTTACATTAAAACACAACCTTCTGTTTTACCGTTTCCGGCTCTTATTGATGTAATTTTTCAACCAATCAGCGATCGCATTATCTCGGGCGTAGTAGTACCGTTTTGTCATTGTTCATTGTAGACGAATCATTAATATTTATGACGCCAACATTTAGGGATTTTTCGTTAACAGTAGATACCAATCGTGGAATGTTGGCAGTCACGTGGTTTGTAAACATTTTTGAAGGATTTATAGGTTTACACCAGAGAGAGTCGCTAGTATCAGTCGCCCTTAATAAAATGTGAATGATGTAAGACTGCTAGATAATTTTTACATCTGCAAACAAAATCTTTATACAGGGTGTCTCATAATTAGCTGCCAACAAAATTTAAACAAAAAATAATAATATTAATTTTCCTTTCCCCTCTTTTCCATTTAAAGGAATAATTTTTATTTAATTTAATTTTTTATTATAATTTTTTTATTAAAATTAGATTAAATTTAAACAAATTTTTTTTTTTAAATTACCATGAAATTGACCAAAGTGGGATTAATTCAAGAGCGATTTTCTCAGAAAGCGTTAAAGATAACGATTTGAAACAAGAGTACCTTTTTAACGTAAAACAGTTCGGGAAAACGGAATTTGCTGTCCAATTTGTTAAAAAGTCAAAGATGAAAAAGTTACACACGCAAAGTACCAAGGACCCCCCCGTACCCACCCCAATGGACCTTGTGGAAATAAATGGATTAGTCCATCAAATTGCTCATCAAAATTTAGCTGTGTATACCAAATTTCATTCATTTATCACAACGCGATTGAGAGATATTGCAAAAAAAATATTTCCATTCCTCCCTCTTCAATGGGTCCCTGTGCCCTTAGGAAGCATTTCCGGACCCATGTTCATATGAACTTTTTTACTTAGTTTTGATCATAGAATCGGCCTGTTCAGGGTTGGCAGCTAATTATGAGACACCCTGTAGATTTCAGTAAACAAGAAAACTTAAAAAAAAACTTTGCTATTTATACCAATAACCAACCACTTTCTTTTCTTTTGACAATGTAGAGTTGTATCAACAATTCATTATTGTTACCAATACCATTATACCCATGTATAAATTTCAACATCCGTTTCGATAATTTCGGATAGGGTTTTTCGGAAGAAAGAAAATAAAAATATTTTGCTGCTAACTATTTAGGTTTCATTAATTAAATTATGTCGTATGTTTAACCTTTCGATATTGTATAATGTCACTAATTTGTTGCACAATTTTCATTTCTTTTTTCTTTATTTATTGGGAAAAAAAATTGATAAAATAAGCTTTACTTCTTATTTGTGGAAGGGCGAAATGGGCGGTGACTATTAGACGCTTTCATTATAGCCATATTTCTCTATCGCACGGATTTCTATGACTTACTTTATCGCTCTCACGTAACGGCCGATGAACCATGGGGACTTTCCGACCCTGTATATGAAAGTTGTATCAGAAAATAAAAAATAACACCTCTAACTATGGAAACTGCCAAAAACAAACAAATTTAATCTGTCAAAAAACAATTGTTATCAGAAGACGAAAACAGATTGTTTTTCAAAACGTAAACAACCTTTTGAAGTGCGCGATATATACAGGGTGACCGGAAACTAAACCGACAAACGAAGAGAGTAAATTCTAGGAATGATTCATGTCGATCTCACATAAATCGTATTATACAAAAATGATTCCTAAGGGAGGTAGTGCTCTTTAAAGATACAGACTAAGCGGTATCTGTTTTGATTTGGGTGATTCGTATATCCACGGAGATTTTTGCCTTTTTGGCTTTCAAATATCGCTGGAATTGAAAATTTTTCTATGCGCATAAAAAAAACGTGGGCGTAACTTTTGGCGGCACAATATGTTAAAAAAGTTCGAAAAATGTCATATTTTTCTTCCTATTTAAATATGTATCTTTTCAAGAGTTGAATTTAGGCGAAAATTGAAGTGGAAAAAACTGTATGTAATTAAATTTTACACAATATAACTAGTTACAAATCGAACATTACATGATTATTATTGTAAAAAATTGAAAAAATCGCCAAAAATTGGGTTCAAAACATTACTTTTTAGAAAATTTTTTGGGGTCTTTAAGTTGGGTATCGGACCTTCATACTTGGCTCAAGAAAACTTCATGTTATGTAGAATCATCACACCAAATTTCATCAAAATCGGTTCTACAGATTTTGCATAATAATTTTGCAATCCAGATTTTGAAAAAAAATTGCAAATTTTCAAAATTTTGCATAGCAAAAACCAAGGTCCTTAGACACTTGAAAATTTAATCACATATAGAAGGGCTCTCAAGCTCTCAAACGCTTTTTGAAAAATTTGAATCCGTCAATTAGGAGAGCTCTAGCGCTTGTTTAAACATTGGTCGAATTTTTATACTTTACTAAACAGTTAGAATAATTTTGTGAATATTCAATCAAATCAAATTTTTTAAAGCAGGTTTTAAAAGTTATTGGAAAGACGTTTCTTTAAAAAAAAACAGATCGATTGGTCAATTAGTTACGTAGTTATAGCCGATCAAAGTTAGCCGTCATTTAGACTAAATGTACTGGGACATCCGGGCTAATTTTTCGAAAAATATCTTTGGTATTCCGAGTACTTACCAGGTCTAAGTTTGCAATAATTTTCTTCATTGGCAAACTACTTTAAACGCGTTTAAAGTTATTTATGCAAGCAAGAAATTCAAGAAAATCGTACGGGTGGTGGCGATGGTGGGGGAAGCAGAGAGCACGTCCCCTTCGGCCTGCTCGAAATTGAATCGGCGAGTTCAAAACCGTGACGCGCTTAAAAATTTTTAATATCTCAGCTTCTACAGGTCCGATTTTGGTGATTTTTTTTTAAATCGATGTCTCGCGATTTAGAAAAAACAATTAGCGTATTTGCAAATGCCTATCGTTAATAATTATTGGTCTTTCAACAGTCCGATAATGATTTATCTTCCTTTAATTATCAACTTTATTTTTTTATTGTATCAAAAGTAAGTGCATAAACTTATATACTGTTTATCAAAGATCAAAAACAAATTTATTTAAATATTCTAAAATTGTTTAAACAACAATTATTTTCGAAATATGTCGAAAATTTGTAATTAATTAATTAATTAATTAATTAATTAATTAATTAATTAATAATTTAATCATCATTTCTTTTGTGATTAAAGTATAATTCAAATATTATTTACTGTTTAAAATATAAGCAAATGCGATTAGCTCATTATATTACAAAAATACAAAATTATAGTACAAAAATTCGACCAATGTTTAAACTAGCACCAGAGCTCTCCTAATTGACGAATTCGAATTTTTCAAAAAGCGTTTGAAAGCTTGAGAGCCGTTCTATATGAGATTAAATTTTCAAGTACCTAAGGACCTTAGTTTTTGCTGTGCAAAATTTTGAAAATTTGCAAATTTTTTTTCAAAATCTGGATTGCAAAATTATTATGCAAAATCTGTAGAACCGATTTTGATGAAATTTGGTGTGATGATTCTACATAACATTTTCAACAAGTTTTCTTGAGCCAAGTATGAAGGTCCTATGCCCAACTTAAAGGCCCCAAAAAAAATCCCTAAAAAGTAATGTTTTTTAACCCCATTTTTGGCGATTTTTTCGATTTTTACAATAATAATGATTCCTTCGATTTATAACTAGTCATATTGTGTAAAATTTAATTACATTACATTTTTTTTCTCGTCCATTTTAGCATAAAATCAACTCTTGAAAAGATACATAATTAAATCAGAAGAAAAATATGACATTTTTCGAATTTTTTTGACATAGTGTGCCGCCAAAAGTTAAGCCCACGTTTTTTTTATGCGCATAGCAAAATTTCCATTTCTAGTAATATTTTAAGGCCAAAAAGGCAAAAATCTCCGTGGACATACGATTCACCCAAATATGGACTCATTTAAACAGATATCGTCTGGACTAATAGCCCTTTGAGATTGTTTTTTAATTGTAGATGAGTCAAACTTACGTTATGTGTTAACTTTAGTATTTAATGTAAAAATGATATTTTGATTGTAACCGTAGGCGTCACATTTAAGTGGATCAGCTGACATTTTTAATTATATTTATCTTCGACTTTTGGTATTTATCAGCGTATTCTAGATTAAATAGGTGCTCTTGTCTTGAGTGGCTATAGGAGAAAAAATGATTTCAAATGTTTGTGTTTTTTTGCACGATAATTACAAAATTACAAATCCTTTGCTAATATTTAGTAGTTGGCTTTGGAAAACAGATAAAGATCTACAAAAAAGTTGGAATTTTGTATTAAATAATATAACAAACTGGGAAAAATTATAACAAAACGACGATTAACAAAAACAAACAAACTTTAAATTATAAAAGATACTCTACGTGGGAGCAATTACTTTCAATGCATAAAGTGATTCGTTTCTCTAATGATCATCGAATACTTATGAAGATTCCCCTATTGTTCGTAAACTCATTACAGGTGTTGAATTCGTGCACACAGTTGATCATGTGTTTGTAATGGTTGAGAATAGACTAATGATTTTAGGTATCCGCAGACACAAAAATCGCAAGGATTTAAATCGAGAGATCTTGCGAGCCAAGCAACTGGACCTCTTCTTACAATCCACTGGTGTCCGTAAGTAATATTTAAAAATTTACGAACAGTTATCCTGAAGTGAGCCAGATAACCGTCATGTAGAAACCATTAGTTCTGTTGAATATCCAGAGGTATGTCATCTAATAAATTTTGTAAATTGTTCTCCAAAAAAATGTAGATCCCCTATAGGCGATTAGGCAGTTGCACAGGCCCTAGTAGATTATTACCAAGAACTCCTGCCCAAATATTTATGTTAAATTTATCCTGATGTTTCGTCTCTTTTATGTCACAGGGTTGTGTCACCAACATAGGAATACGCATTACGCATATTAAAAATTCCGTCCTTCGTGAAGGTACCTTCATCGCAGAATAACATATTAGAAAAAAATTAAGGTTTCGAACTTTTTTGGCTTCTTCCAATGCCTAAATTTGTCTAAAATGAAAAGGAATTGGTTTTTCTTGTGCAAAATGTCTCCTACAGTAGTTTTTGAATTATTCGGATACATTGCAACCAGACTTCTAACACTAATTTTTGGATTTTCCTCAACTTCCAGCAATATGTCTTCCTTACTTATATCAGCATGTCTGCCCGTGTAATATCTTTTTAAGAATCAGTTCATCAATCCGGTTTCTCATAATCTTTGGTGCAGGGCAGTAAAAGTGGAATGAAGAGTAAATCTTACATCCGAAAATTCTTCTGCAAATCAAAGTGCCGCTACTCGAAAGTTACATTGCATTTCGCCATACACTTAACAAATTATTCTGTAGTAAACATTTTTAAACAAATGTATTTTTTGTATTTAGCAAATGAGTTTTTAAATTATTGAGAAATGACAATCACAGCGTAGTTAATGGTTGCTATGTTACTTATTTTCCAAAACCAACTACTAAATATTAGGAAAGAATTTGTAATTATCGTGCAAAAAAAATACAAACATTTCAAACAGATTTTTCTCGTATACGGTCACTAAAGACAAGAGTACCTCTTTAATCTAGAATACTCTAGAAGTTTTAGATTTTGATACTAAAAATTCCAAATAGTCGAAAACAAAAAAATACAATTAAAAATATCAATTGACCCTCCCATATGTGACGCCTATGGATACAATTAAAAGATAATTTTACATCAAAAGGCTGTCTGTATAAGATTTAACACATTACCTAAGTTTGATCCATCTTCAAAGAGCCTACCCTACTTAGGAAGCACTTGTGGATAAGACGATTTATGTCAAATCGATATGAAATAATCCCTAGAATTTGCTGTCTCGTTTGTCCTCACCTTGTATAGCCTTGTATATTTTGTATTTGTTTAGTTTTTTCAGTGTGAGATTGTTGCTTAGGCAAAACTATTTTCAATAAAATAACCGTTAACGCAAGGGTCTATTTCATTATTACCTTTTTAATTTTTTTATCCTCTCGTTTAAAATAAGTATTACAGTTTGCAAAATTATTTTCTGCTTAGCTGCTTGCTGATCTCTAATGTGAAAAAGTTCTTGCAAAAGTTAGACGAATTCCAATTATAGAATCCGCTATTAAAGTTTGGGCAAACATTTTAATTACATCCTGTACAAGTAGAGATTCAACTTAGTTGTGGATCCATATAGATATACTACTAATGTAAAAAAGAAACCTAAAAGGACAGTTTACAAATTACTCAAAAATATACACGCCACAATGATCGACTGTAATACCTGACCGAGGGCAGTACACGAACAGTAAATCTATTTTTACTATTTTTTATTGGTGTATACAGGGTGTCTCTGTAATAAGTGCGTTCCTTGAAATGGGTGATAGAGGGCACGAAAATACATAACGCACGTGCACAAGATGCACAGGGTCGGTTTACATATATGGTTAATTTTCTTAATTAATTTTCTCGAAAACAGAAGTATTTAGATCACCAGTTGATTAATACAAGTTTCTCATTTATGTGCCCTCTATCACTTTTTTCAAGGAATGCACTTATTTCAAAAACACCCTGTATGTCTCCAAAGTCTTTTGGATAAGTTGTGAATCACCTTGTGTATCTCATCAATTCTTAATAGATAAGAAAAAATTATCTGCCTCTGTTAAATAAACGGCAACAGTTTCGCATTTGCTATTGTCCTTTAACAAAGAAATTTTGTGATGCCCGCTCTAGAGAAAGACCACTTTTATCACTAAGCAAAAAAAATCTCATGGACCGTCCAATTCTCACATCGTTAAACCTATCCCATTTCCAGTGTATAGTGTAATAAATTGTGAGGCTATCATTTTCAATTCCACTCATACTGCGTCTCCCTTCCGCAGGAATCATAAAAGGGGACGAAATAATGGTGATAAACGGCGCAATAGTCTCCGACCTGGACATGATGTATCTGGAGAGCGTGCTCCAAGAGGAGCTGGCCCTCTGCATGATGATGCGTTCCTCTCGGACCGAGCCGCCGGATTTGGCTGGAATCCTGAGGGCGACCGACGACATCATCGAGAGCCTGGTGTGCCCACCGCCACCATCGGAGCCCCCCGCCATCAGTGAGGAGATGATCTCGGGACTCATCGTACCTGCCCCAGGTTGGAGTGAGTAATTAAGGGTAGTTTGTAGGCATCTCGCGCGACGTCAAAATAGTAGAAAATCTTAATATAGAAATACAAGTTAGTACTCATATAAAAGGGTTCCTATACCGAAAATATGGTTTCGACACAACGGTACAAACATTGGTAAAACACTTTTTTAACATGGTACGTACTCTAGACTAAGAGCCGGATAGTAAAGTTTTCGTAATTATTTTAGGCACCATAAGAGTCTACGATTTAAATACTTACTACAACCTAAAAGAAAACATTTGAGCACTATGCCGCCAATTCTCCGTGGCACATGGGTTGTCAGCGGAAAACAAACTTTCCAATTTTGGGCCGGGCAAATTAATTAAATAGAAATTGACGGCATTTTGATCCAAGACAGGTATTAGAAAAATAAGACATAAAAACCTTATGCCGTACAAAAATAGCGGTTCTGGAAAGAATAAAAAATTTTCATTTTCCAAATATTTTTAGTAATGTAAAAATTATAGAAAACTGTACGGCGCGCCTGATTTTAAATAAAGATATTTATTTGAGTTATATTTTATTATGCCGTACGAATGCACTGGCTCTAAGAGCTTTTACCCTGACGCAAATTTTCTCATTTCAACCCCTATTCCAAAAAATTATTGAGAAATGTACGGCACCGATTTCAGAGTTTTACTTATGCTCTAAAATAATGAAAAATATAAGTGCCGTACAAAATATTTGGCTAAAAAAAAAGTATTACATAATTGTGAGTGCTTTGAAGTTATTTTTCTTTGGGTAATAATCATTATTTCCAGAACGGCCTAAATTTCGGAAGCTAGTTATTCCACTTTATAGTCTTTATACAAAAGTGCCGTACAAAATTATTGGCACCAGAAAAAACCAATTGGCCGTGAATAAAAAAATTGTTTATCATTTTTGCTATTTGGAAAATCCATTTGACAGCTACTACGGTACTATATATTTTCAATTTTATTACTGTTTTAAATTATTCAAGGGTCAATATTAACAAAATTGTGGATGCCGTGGATGAAATTATTATTCCTGTACCTACGGCATTTACTCCATAATATTAGCACCATCAAATGATAATAAAAAATTATATCGCCGTACATTTTTGATGGAACATTCATCGAATGCTATAAAAAATATTTAAATAATTTAAACTCTACTTTACTATACCTACTCAATAATTAACAATTCCTGTACGACATTCATTGCAGATTATGAAGGCAGTTAAGTAATGATGAAAAATGATATTGCCGTTACATTTGCATGGAATATACAAATAATATATGCATAAATTCCAAGTAGGTAGGATAAAAATGTAAAACTAAATTATATTAATCAATATATGTTTTAGCATTTATCTTTTTCAGCGCAAAAATTTTATAATAATTACCNGTGTATTAAGCCAGATCTTCCCAACTAACAGAGACTGGCGAATTTGGTGAATGAGTAATGTCCATTTTTTTTTCAAATTTAAGATATGTTATTTTTAACTCTATAATTATCAACTACAACCTAAAAGAAAACATTTGAGCACTATTCTCCGTGGCACATGGGTTGTCAGCGGAACATCTAACTTTCCAATTTTGGGCCGTATAAATTAATTAAATTGAAATTTGAAAGAAGTATTAATAACGTTTATAATACTTTACTTTTTTACAAAAAAAAAATATTTTTAGAAAATTATTTTATAAAATAGACTACTAAAATAATGAAATGAAAAGTTAATTAAATCTTGTTGGCCTTAATGACATTTGTTGATCTTTTTTTATTTTGTTTTTGTTGATCTTAATACATATAAAAACTTAATCTTCGTCCTCGTCCTCCTCATCTCCAGTTTCGAGTTCACTTCCGAAATCTTTATCGTGATCACCAACATCAGCAACCTTTACAGAATGCACTATTTTCATGTTTGATTATTTTTTAAAATAAATTATTTTTCAAAGAAAATTAAGATAAAAACGATTACTTACTGATTTTACAACAAACAATTTTATTTTATTCGTTGTATTGGATTCAAAATATATACGGCATAATTGAAAAATAAAAAATAAATTTTGGCAAAACAAACAAATTGAATTGTAGATATGCATACCAATATTATAAACTTTTGCATGGAAAAAAAATTGCAGTTATATGCAAACGTTTTTTTGGAACTTTGGGGCCTTTTTTCCCCATATAGTGCCACGATATTTATACGGCAATATTTTGTTAATAGTTAAGTTTTTATGAATTCGAAAAGGGCACAAATGTCGTACAGAAACTTTTCACTAAAATATCCACCGTTGAGCGGAAAATTCATTTCCCCACTGTAACCTTATAAGGTATAATTAATATAGTTGAGGTAGTATAGTGCTTTCTAAAAGTTTTAATTTTAGGGTGTCTAATAATTTTCCTTATTCTACGTAAAAGGTAAGGGTTGAGCAAGAGTTAAAAGCACTTAGAGCCAGTGCATTCGTACGGCATCGGCATAGTAAAATATAACTTTCAAATAAATATCTTTATTAAAATCAGGCACGCCGTAAAGTTTTCTATAATTGTTACTATAATTCTATAATTTATATAATTGTGTGTTAATTGTAATTGGAAAATGAAAATGTTTTATTCTTTCTAGAGCCGTTATTTTTGTACGGCATTTCTTCATCTTCTTCATCTTCATCTAGTGGTTGGTCCTTTAAAAGTCCCATAGCACTGCGGCCTAATTAGGCCTATTGTGCGTCCCACTACTAGTCCTATTCAGCAAGTAGATTTATCCTTTTTACAAAGTCCAAAAGCTTCCTTGCTGACACTTCTCTCAATTCCTTGGGTTCCAAATAGGACATCCCAAGGAGCGCCATTCTGCTATGTGCAAATCCCGGGCACTCGCCCAGGATATGCAGAGAAGTTTCATCCGCCGATTCACATCCTCGGCAGACCGGACTGTCTACAAGCTTTAGCTTATGTAGATGTTTCCTAAAGTGACAGTGTCCCGTTATGAGTCCTGTCACTCTCCTGAGCCGGATTCTATTCAAGCTCAGTAGCTCATTCGCTCTTCCCTTCGAAGGATACTCCATAAGCTCCTTAGAATGGCTATGTCCTGGCCTTGAAGTCCAGTATTTCCTATGTTCTGTCTCTGTCCATTTGCCCAGAGCCCGCCTGACCACACTGGGAGATGTGCCACAGAAGGGCTCCGGGCCAATGAACACTGTCTCGGATCCCTTCCTAGCAAGTTCATCCGCTTTCTCATTTCCACAAATGCCTTTGTGCCCTGGCACCCAACACAGTCTGACTGTATTGTTGGTGGCCAGTTCAGTCAGCATTTGTAAACAGTCCCACACCAGTTTTGAACTTACCTTGTGTGCGGCTAAAGCTTTAATTGCAGCTTGACTATCAGAGAATATATATATGAGTTTACGTCTATAACCTCTACGTACATTCTCTGCCAGACACGCCATTATCGCGAAGATTTCTGCTTGGAATACAGTAGGGAACTCCCCCAGACTGTAGCTTGCACTCCATCTGGGTCTGAGTCCATATATTCCTGCACCCGTCCCTCTGGTCATTTTGGAGCCATCTGTAAACCATACTAGGCTCCACCTTTCCAGGGTATTAAACCTTTCCTCCCACTCGCTTTGATCCTCTATTCGAGTCTCAAATGGCTTGTGGAAGTGAAACTTTGGAACCATCTTGTCGGATACCATCCCAAGAATTGGTTCCGACATAGATGTATCTTTGATCCTGGAGTGGGAACCACCCCTCCAGTCATTATTATTCCTGAGTCGATATGCTGCTAGCCGCGCTTCTCTCTCCACCACTATATGCAGCGGTGGCAGATTTAGCATGACTTCTAGTGCAGCTGTCGGGGTCGATGCCATCGCCCCCGTTATACCTAAACAGGCCAATCTCTGAATTCTATTCAGTTTTTCCTTCGCTGTGGTCTGTTGTGTTTTCTGCCACCATACCACAGCGCCGTAAAGAATCCTGGGTCTTACTATCGACGTATACAACCAGTGTGACATCTTTGGTTTCAGTCCCCAGGTTTTCCCAATAAGGCGGCGGCATACACACAGTGTCTGCTTCGCCTTACTCACCACTTTTTCCAAGTGCGCATTCCAGGTAAGCTTATTATCCAGTATCACTCCTAGATATTTTACTTCCCTGGAAAATGTAATGCCCCTCTCCCCTATTATAGGTTCAGAGAGTCCAGTTAAATTTCTTCTCCTAGTGAAGGGTACTACGACCGTTTTGTCAGGGTTTACTGACAGTGCCTGCCCCTTACACCAGTCATCTATCCATTTCAAAGCCTCTTTCATGAGTTCTGAAACGATAATATTATGTTTCCCGACTATGAGAACGACCAAGTCATCCGCATAGCCTTGTGTATAAAACCCCTTTCGATTAAGGCCCTCCAGTGCGCCGTCCACCACTAATCCCCATAACAAGGGAGACAGTACGCCTCCCTGGGGGCAGCCCCGGCCTACCTTACACCTGGATGTCTCTCCCGAAAGGGTAGCTGTTACTGTCCGGTTTCTCAACATGGTATCTATCCAACGACACAAAGTGTCTTCAAGGCCCCTGTTGCGAACTGCCGAATTAATAGATTCGAAAGGTGTATTGTCAAATGCCCCTTCAATATCTAAAAAAGCTGCCAAAGCTAGATCTTTGTCGTCCATTGCCCTCTCTATCCTAGAGACTAGGCTATGAAGGGCTGTGTCGACTGATCTGCCTGCCTGATAGGCGTATTGGTACCTGTGCAGAGGATTTGCCCTCAATACCCCGTCCCTTATATGCCTGTCAACTATTCTCTCCAACGTTTTCAGGAGGAAAGATGTTAAACTTATCGGGCGATATGCCTTTGCCTGGGCATACGATGGACGCCCTGGTTTAGGAATAAACGCCACGTTCGTCGATCTCCATGCCAGCGGTATATAACCAAGTGCAATGCTGGCTCTGAAGACGTGAATTAAGACCGGAGCTAGACAGTCCACCCCCTGCTGTAGCAGTACAGGTAGGATTCCATCGGCTCCTGGTGATTTAAATGGGTCAAAAGAACTTATTGCCCATCTTATTCGTGACTGACTCACCACCGTCTTGGCAACCTCCCAGTTCTGTCGAGACCCGGTCGTTACCCTCTGCTGGTGATTCCAGTCATATTCATCTCCATGATTTAATAACCTGGAGCCTGGAAAGTGAGTATTTAGAAGTAATTCCAATGTCTCCCTTCCAGTTTTGGTATATTCCCCACTCGGTGCTTTGAGAGACCCGAGTTTCGTATGTCCGTTCTTAGAGAGAAGTCTCTGGAGTTTAGCACACTGTGGGACACTATCAATATCCTCACAGAACTTCCTCCATGAGTCTCTCTTCGCTTTTCTAATTTCTTTATTATACTCAGTGAGGGTTGCTCTATAAGTCTCCCACTCTCCTGTCCGCTTTGCTCTATTAAATAGTTTTCTTGTCTGTCCCCTCAACTGCGTGAGTTCCTTGCTCCACCAGGGTACGGTGTGCTTATCGGACCTCACTTTGATAGGACAGCTGTATTCATATGATCTTGTGACGGCGTTTTGGAGTTCCTCCACGGCCCTCTCAAGATCATATGTGTTCCTTAGTTTTGTACAGATTTCCCTAGTCCTGGCCTGTAACTCCGTTCTATAGGAGTCCCAGTCAGTTCTTTTTGGGTCTCTGTAGGTTCTTACTTGCGGATTATAATCCGTTATAATTTCAAAGTGGATATGTCTATGATCCGACATTGACGGCTCATTCGACACATGCCACCTCGCAATATTATTACATATCGGTCCCGATCCCACTGTTATATCGATGACTTCACTTCTATTTTTTATAACAAAGGTGGGCTCGTTCCCGACATTCAAAATCTCTAGATTATAACTAAAAAGAAAATCTAGTAAAGACTCACCTCGATCGTTGACATCGCTGCTTCCCCACACCGTATGGTGTGAGTTAGCATCACATCCCACGATGAGTTGTTTCTTCTCCTTCTCGCACCAGGCCACCAGGTCCCTCAGTTCCCTGGTTGGAGGAGATTCTTTCTTATCGTAAGGGAGGTACGCTGAGCAAACTACCAGTTGTCTCTGCGTTCCCTCCGATACATAAGTCACTTCGGCCGCCACCAGGTCATCCGTGCAGAACCCTGGAAGAGGAAAAATATTAATACTACTCTTGTAATAAATACAAGCCCTAGGTCTAGTTTGGTGGCCACAATACAGTAAGCCACCATTACTTACCTGCAATCCTCTGATCTGGGATCCATGTACCCAAGGCTCCTGGATCAAAGCCAAATCCGCATTTCTAAAAAGGACCCTGGTGAAGTTCAGAAATGGTCTGAAGCCCTCCTTCTGAAGTACGTTCACACTCATCTCATCTACTGAGAGGACTAGGGTCTGGCTCTTCTCCTCAACCTTGCGGTTGATTAGCCTCCAGGCCCCCGTCCTCAATTCCCCGTTCTGGTTTTCCAGACGGCTCATGATGGTTTCCGGTTCATCAGGATGACCCGGAATCCATACGATGAACTTAGTGAACTTAGGTAGGTCCCTAGGTATTAGGTTTTTATGTCTTATTTTTCTAATATCTGTCTTGGGTCGAAATGCCATTAATTTCTATTTAATTAATTTACCCGCCCAAAACTAGAAAGTTTGATTTTCCGCTGAAATGTTTTCTTTTACGTTGTAGTCTTTATGTCATAGACTCTTAAGGTGCTTAAAATGATTAGAAAAATTTTCCTATCCGGCTCTTAGTCTATAACGGTTTCCGATAGTGTGACTTGATAAACTTGGACAGCTCTCATACATGCACTACAAATTCTTTCCTGGCACTGAATTGGCTAAAATCGATAAATCTTTCCAAAAACCTGTATGTACATACAGGGTATCCCATATAAAACTTTCCACCTGAACATTTCGTTTAATATGAAGCTTTGAAAAAATTCAAAAAACACATCGATTTTCAATTTGAGAGGGACATCGACTTATGTCATTACTTATTTTACAGTTGTCATCCCTTCGTAAATTGAGGTATCAACTTTGAAATTTCAAATGTCACTACAGAGCGTTCAAGAAAAAAATATTGAAATTAAATTTTTGGAATTTTGTATTTTTATATTTAAAATTGTTTTATTTTAATATATATCATGTGAACCACTGAAGTGACTTTCATACATCAAAACATTAATTATCAAAAAGGTTTCTACTTCAGACGATAAAAACAATAATAAATGAAACGTAAAGAAGGTTGAAGTACTTATCACAATTTTTTATGAATTCCATTGCATTCCATTCCATTTTACCTTTTTGTTTGATATCATTTTATCGGAAATGTGTTATTGTTGAAACCATTTTCAATTGTATCAACTCTCATATTCGGCTTACAATCAAAATGTAACTAATTTATCAATGATTCATTATAGTTTATTCGTTAGCTGAAAAAGTTGAAATAATTTTTCTTTATGGAAAACAAAATGAAAGTGCTAGAGAAACTGCTCAAATTTTCAATGAGTTGCATACTGATCGCCAAACAAGTCATACGTACGTGAGCCAGATGGCGTCCGTAGCAAATCTTAAGAAAACTAATCATCCTAACGAATTGAAAGTAGGAATTTTAGACGAACTGACAATGAATCCACACCAACCCGTGCGATCGCTAGAGCGTACTTACAGGGATCCCTAAGTCGAACGTTCATCGGATTTTGCAAAATACATCTTGTGCATGTTTGAACGAGGATGATCCGGATCGAAGAATAGAATTTTGTGATATCATGTCTAACAGAATTACAGAAAATCAAAATATACTTTACATTATCTGCTTCAGTGATGAGTGTACATTTTTTCTCAATGGTACAGTGGATAGGTATAATATTCGTTATTGGACGGGTGAAAACCCCCATTGTGTTAGGGAATCGCAGACTCAGTATCCAGAAAAGCTGAACGTCTGGGCAGGAATATTGGGTAATCACATATTAGATCCATTTTTTTAGATAGCAACTTGACTGGAGCCAGCTATTTGTTGGAAGATCATATTGATCCTATGATCACAGAAATTCTGGAGAATGATGATCAGTTGGATGAAAATCTTGACGTTTCAACAAGACGGAGCTCCACCCCATTTTGAATGACGAGTTCGGACATATTTGGATCAGAATTTTCCAGGACAATGTATAGGTAGGCGTGGGGCTATAGAATGGCCAGCTCGGTCTCCCGATTTGAGTCCAAACGACTTTTTTCAATCAGTGGTTTTTGCAAGTCAACCCGAAAATCTTGAAGATTTAAGACAACGTATTGTAAACGAATATCGGAATTTAACTCCAGAGGTTTTTGCAAATATAAAGAGATGTTTCGTGGACAGGCTCCATATTTGCCAAGAACAACTGGATGCACAATTTGGGCATCTATTATAAACAATTTTAAATGTAAAAATACAAAATTCTAAAAATTTAATTTCAATATTTTTTTCTTGATTTTTTATTTTTTTTACGGATTCAAAGTCACTATCAAAAGAGCTTTCAAACGATCTACCACACGCCCTGTAATACCATTTGAAATTTCAAAGTTGATACCTCGATCTATGAAGGGGTGGTAACTGCAAAATAAATAATAATGTAAGTCGATGCCCCCACAAATTAAAAATCGACGTGTTTTTGAAATTTTTTCAAAACTTCATATTAAACGAAATGTTCAGCTGCGACACCCTGTATATGTACTTATGCAGTGTGTTTCATTTCAAATGAATAACAAAGTCTCCTATATCCTTACAAAATTTATGTATTTAAATAAATATCTACATTTGCATAACGATAACCACAATCTAATATGTTTGAGATGATTATAAATATTTAATTATCCATAAGTTATTACGTATTTGGCAGCAGCCTACTTTACTTTAAATTGCAATAAACAGATTATTTTCAAGTGTGTCGGTATACAACATTGGGGCATAGACTCTCTAGTTTTCTAAGCAATGAATCGACTCGACAGAGAGTTATAAACTTCTGAATTTAAAAGCAACTTTGGATTTGTATAATTATTTTATGAGAAACATTTTCCCATAATTTTAATACTTTACGTGCTTTACTCTTACATTTAATCAGAAAATTCTCCACCATTTTGAAAATATACCGACTAGTCTACAGATATTGCATATCTTGTAAAAACTTATCAATATTCATAATTTTATTAAGAATATTACTCCACGACCATCGCTGAGATTACTTTATTCTTATCGGCCATTTTGTTTTTTTCGCTTTTGTGACATCATAGCTTGATCCAGACTACACACTATCGTACCAGAAAGTGCACAAAGACGGCCTTTAAACAACAATCAAAACATTTTTTCTCTATCTCCCTTGTGAAGAAAATTATGCCTCTGTATTTATTTGAAATGAACCACACTGTATGTTAAGTCACAGTAGGGTATTAAGTTACTAATCAGATAACACACATTCGATAATTTACATGCTAGGCAATTAACTTGGCAATTAACTTGCTTATCTCAACATAAAGTCCAAAACAATAACTAGGAATTTCACACGTTTAAAATTACCCAATCCATCAAAGAGTTTGGTTAAAAAAATAACATATCTTTGACATTTATCCAAATTATTATTTACATTTAATGCAAACAATATAGTTAAAGCATTATTGACATAATTAGGAAACAAGAATAGTCCAATGGCTGCACTCTAGAAAATCTTTGAATTAATAATTGAATTGAATTAATACATATTTTTCGCACATCAACGTTAATCAATATTCTGCTATTAATTTTCAAATAAAGCAATCAGTTTGTTTCAATTAATTCTCTTTAGAAATGTTTGTGGCCATTAAAATATTATTTAAAAATACACGTAGTTTCAAACAAATTTTTACGTTTTGTAAATAATGTATTTATAACATAATGCATTTACTCAGTAATTAAAAATGTTCTCTTAAAAGTTTAAAAGTAATTAATAAAGTAAAAGTAGTTATTTCACTCTCGCAAATTGAGTAACTTTTTTATTTGCTCTGGGTGTTACAGAGTGATCCAAAAGTTGAAAGCGGAATTACATTTATGGTATAAATAAACAATAGTTAATGTTTTCTTCAACCACAAAACAAAAACTTCAGAAATTACAAGAAAAGTTATACATCAGTAAAAATAGTCTGCCAAATACGTATTAAGACATAAAAATACAAAGAAGCACGAAATAAGATTTATGTGAATGCATAGGAAACGATACATATAGGTTCTAGAACATTATTAACTGAATATTTGTTAATACAGGCGTTGTCTTGCTATTACGGGATTTAAACAATTATAATTTAACTTATTTAACTTTGGACAGAGTACTAACAAAATGTTTTAATAATTATTGTTATACCTACTAACTTTTCATGAATTGAGATTATGCTTTTAAGAGACAGCTTGGTTGAATTGACAATATTTCCTTGACGCTATAAGTTGCATCTAACTAGATCTGAATGAAAATTACAATAACGAAAGAACTAGAAGGCATATAATGGTAGAAATTAACAATGAAGCTTCTTAATTTCTGAAATAAGTAGTTTTAATATTTAGATAATGAAAAAAATCATTATTCTGGTATGCAAATTCTAAGACACTGGGTAGTAAAATACATTTGTATGTGTACTTTTTATATTTTACAATTTTAAATTTCTTGACTAGAAATTATTGAACTACGTTCATTTCTAAATAAAAAAGGTATACCTGTTACAAATCGATAAACTCGTTTTATGACGTTTTATGTTTTTGAGATTCGACGGAAATTAAATTAGAAAATAATTGTTTTCAAAGTAGTAGCCATTGACATAATAAATTGACAGCTGTCACTACAATACCATATTGTTTCTGCCAATTCTACTCAATTTGATTAGGAAGTAGTTTTTTCCTTGTCGTTATTTTTTGGAGAAGAGAATATCTTAATAGAAATTTCTCGCATCGTTGAATTGGACGCGGTAGCGAAATACCTTGGCCTGCAGGCCTGCACGCAGTCCTGTTTTAAATCCGCTGGATTTTTACTTTTGGGGATATCTTAAATCTTTAGTTTATTATTAATGGCAATGAACAACTGTAGACAAATATTCAAGAATTAGTTCATATTATCAAACAACATAGAACTTTATTTAACGTCAGACAAAATTTAAATAAAAAGCTAAAAAATAGCATTGAACTCTCTGGCTTAATAATTTGTTAAGATATGTATAATAAAATTTTCATTTGCTGTAATGTTTGTCTTAATTCTTAATTCAGGCTTGGTATCTTAAAACCTGCTAATTTTCTAATTTAATTCCCGCCGAATCTTAAAAACTCGAAAACGGTTTAGTTTATCAATTTGTAACTAGTATACCTTTTTTATTTATAATTGAACGTAGTTCAATAACTTAAAGTTATTAAAAAATTCAAAATTGTAAAATACAAAAAGTTAGATTTTTACATTGATAGGACAGTATAACTATCGCCATCTAGACGTGACTCCAACACTGTTTGCATATTCGTATTTGCCTCCTCAAAAAACGTAAAACTACAAATTTTCAAAATAATCGGTTAACACCCTGTAGAACGAAAAGGAGCAGGCTTGTTTGGCTCAATCACTCATATTTTGACGTTAACAATCTGCCATTAAGCTGTGTACCATTATTAATTACTCACCCTGTATATTACAGTTGAAAATAGTGGCTAAAAGAAAAAGTCTCTCGGGAGTAGAAGGAATATTAGGTACATATTAGTGTTGATAATCCTAGTTTTCTTTCATTAATAGGTTTGAATGTACTAGTATATGCTATTAAAATCGCCAGAACCCTTTATCTTAAACTTGTTTCCAGTACAAGTAATTATTAAATAAATTCTTCATTTCTTAGAGCGTAATTTTGACATATTTAATATTAACTCAAATTGTTTAAAAATATTGTTAAATCGTTTGTTTTTGATATCATTTATATTGTGTACGTTTTATTTTGGTACTTGTATCTATATATTATTATTCGCATATTTTAGATCATTTTATTAGATACTAAATTAATGTTGCTTGCAGACTAGCTTTAGTTGTTCAGGTTTTTGCTATATTTTGCAAAAAAAAATCAGTTTCGAAAATATATCTTAACTTCTTTATAAATAAGTTTTGAAATTATTGAAAACATTTTTATGACAACTTTTTGCTAATAATTACACTATTTCAATGGTTCCGGAAAACTATAAACAACTTTATTTGTCCTCATGGCCCTGATATTGTATGTTAAACGAAAGAAAATTTCTGTAAGTTCCCAACGGTTGACGATCTCAATTCGCATTTGCAAAAAAATTAGTTGCCAGATTTGTCAAAATACTAGTACAAAATTATATTTTTTTATTTTTTCGGTACGTTATTGAATTTCTTTTACATACCTCGATGATAAACCAAAAAAATCTTCTTTCTGTTCAGCATGTGATTCAATATACCTTAGCACCCACGAAAAAAAAAAGAGAATTGATGATAGCTTCTCAGAGCCACACAAATGACGAATCTGCAGTGAAATTATATGCAAAATTTTGAGTATATGGAATGTGTTCTTTATCCCTAATCACAGTCCCTAATCTTTAAACTAACAACATAAACAGGTAGGAGACTGTACTTTTCCTTACAGGCAAGGACCGCTACTCAACCGACTCGGAAAACCCCCCATCCTCCATGACTGACTCCGGCATTAAAGTAAGCTCCAGAACCAACTCCTTCGAGATAGAAAATTTGCTCAAAACCGCCGAACAAGTAACCGGCTTCTGTCGATCACCTGTTGAGACCAGGAAAACCAGCAGCCCCACCGGTAGCGTCGTCAGCAGCACCTCACAGGCCATCCTGACTCCTTCCCGGCAGCTCTCCGATGCAGAGAAACTTCGGAAAGTCATCCTGGAACTTGTAGACACCGAGCGGGCTTACGTTAAGGTAATTATTTACGAGCTCGTAAATTATTTCGAAGAAAATTTATCACCGAGACGGAGAGGAAAATAAACATTCCCTCTCAGATGGATTTCTTCGTTTGTAGAAGGTTATTACATTTACAATTTACAATTATTATTACAAGGGTTTTTTATATAACACTGGTATTTTCTCGTAGTCTGGATTACTTTTAGTCGGAGCAAACTACCATAAAAGAGTGCCACAAGGACATTTTTTAAAGTGTTTGTTTCCTTCACTCATTGTTTTAACTTTAACTTAATTTAAAGTTGGTAACGATAGAGCACTTCTGGAGAGTTTTCAAAAAAGTTGAAAGTTTGTAATTTATGTAAGTTTCGACACACCTATTAGAAAATGAAATTAAAACCTACTTTCTAACACAAAAGAATACTAGTTCTAATAAATTAATGCTGTAATAAGTCTTCTAAATCTAACCTATGAGCAAAAGTATTGCTAATTTTTAACTTTTTGTGCGGGCAAAAAAAGAAATTGGAATTGAAAAATTCTGTTTCCGCTCATTTCATTTGTAATTTCAAAAATAAAAACAAAAATTGTACGCTAATAATTTGATAAGATTTTTTGAGTTCTATACATTATATATTATTATAACAATTTAAATTAATTTAACAACTTAACAACTTTCAAGGAATCTAAAAAGGAATACAGTTGCTTAAATAAAACTTTATTGTCCTTTTATATCCATTAAAGTGTTTAATCATTTTTCCATAATTAACAGAATTTAGGTACTCTCCAGTTTTCCAAAAACACTTATAAACTGACATTATTATTTATTATCTCCTAAACACGCGAAATCTTTAACGACTTTATAACAACATAATTTGATTAAATATCTGCAAGATTAATAACCTAAAATTTGCAGAAGATGAAGTAGATATCGTCAAAAGTTTATTATTCTCATTATGAAACAGCCCCTCGCTGCATTTTACCCAGCAGGGTCCTTGACTTATTCAGAACTGAATGACAAAACACCAAACATTCCGTGAAATACAATCACTTATTCCAAGTCGCGCAAAAGTTATATGAGAGTTGCATATTTTCATCGTTTCACTCGAAGTTCTCCATCTCGCGCAATCAATCATTCCACGAGTATTATAATATACAACTTTTTCAATTTTCTTAGACGGATAGAGCGTAACATTGCACAATATAAAGCTCTCCTTTTCCAGAAACTTTTCTTTTCTTGTAAAATAATGAGATTAATGAAGTAAAGTTTAGGAAACACCACAAAGACCAAATCGTGCTTTAACTCCTAAAATTATAACTTTTTGATAAACACATTTCGACGTATACCAGAAAGATAAGACCATCGACAATATATTTATTACAGAAAAGAACTTTCGCAAATAAATTAGAATTAGTGACTATTTACATTCTTACTGAAAATAGTATTTTTATTGTAAAGAAAAATATAGTTTTATTGCCACGAATATCTTAGATACATGACAGGATATATAGGTATATTGTAAAACAGTAGATTATAGGATCTGAAGTAAATACATCGTCTTTTTCCGCCACGATCATCAGTAGATGTATTCTGGGTTTCATGAGTTCCTAGCCCACTTTTAGTCTTCTAATTAGGCTCCGCAACTTGACAGTGGCGCTTTTACATAAGTTCGAACTTCCCATACCCTCAGTAGACCTTCACACTCGATTTTCACGCTTTACATGAATAATGACTAGCAACTGCTGATTTACTTCCTAATAGTCTTTTTTGCACAACAGAAACCCGAACAGAAAATGCAAAATTTCTCTGATTGTTAAAATTTCGCAGTGAATATGCCAATTCAAATTTTTGTCTATATGAAGACCTAAAAATGTCAATGTTTCATCATCAGTACTAAAAAGTATAATACCGTTTACAGTAGTCGTTAAGTTTTTGTTTCGTTAGCATTAATTTATTATTATTTTCTGAAAACCATTTTGCTAGGATACCCAATAAAATTATTTGTATCTACGTTCCTACCATTAGAGCTCAAACTAGTAATTATGTCACCAGTATAGATGGTAAAGCCTAAATTTAATGAAACAAGAGTCTAAATCGTTAATATGAATTTAAAAAAAGCATTTGGCCTAGTACTGAACCTTGTTGCACACCCATCGGTACAGTATAGCTAGTTTTTAGAGCAACATATCGAGATTTGTCAAAGAAAGATTATACCCACTTTACAGCCACATGCAAGGATGTGTTTTTTGCAAGCTGCAAGAGAGTTTATGGAAATCATATAAATAGCTCGGAAGAAATAAATTAGAACCACTCCCAAATTACCACCTCTACATGAACAAAGTCTGTATCGTGTGCTATATTGTGCATGGTACTTATAGCTGTTATTTATAGAAATACAAAAAAAAATAAGTATAAAAATTTTCGTGAAGCGCCATAATTTTCTCATGATTATTGCAAAGATAAACAGATTTTTGTTGTGTTTTTATTGAAACATCCCGCATATTTACGTATTTGGATAAATCACCTTCTTACTACAGGGTGAAAGAAGTATAAGAGTAATCACAAATGATCAAAAAAGTTGTATAATATAGGGGCGTAAGATTAACAGTTTTCAAAATATTGGGGAGAAAAAATGTAAACACTATTATTGTGAAACATTTAGTAAATTTCAAGACAATTGTTTTCCAGTTTTTAAATAAATAAAATAAAATGTATCGATTTTGTAGTACGAAGATAGTGTTGTGCTTAAATTTTAGCTCGAATTTTAGTAATTATGAATCTCTTAAAACAGGAACATAACTTTTAATCAAATTATGGATTTGCACAATATGTAATTAAAATACCCAAAGATTCGCGTCGTCCAAACAATCATACACATTAAAAATAATTTAGGGACTTACCAAAAGGCAAAATTAAGTAATTTTTAAACGCACAAGTACAAAACAAACCACAACATATGCTCAAAATGTGCACCACCATTTTCGATGCACGCACGACACCTTCGAATCCAATTTTCGTGCACTCGCTGGAAAACACCTCAACAAAATGAAATAATGGTACGCAAAAACACTCCAACACGGTCCAATTCCAGATACCAACACCAACTGAATTGCGTATTGCTCGACAGCTTAATACCTCGTGTTACACAACGCGCCGTTGTCACATTGCTCAATATGAATTTTATCGAATTTTAAATTTTTTACAACGCTAATTATTTTTCAGAAATAAGCATAAAGAAGGTAAAAAAGTGATAAACATTATATTTTATGGTATTTATGCTCACAATTATGTCAATTCCTTAATTAATCGCACATCAAGTTAGAGACTTTGATAATTTTTTTCTCGTAAATGGTTGAGTTTAGGACCCATGTCATATAAGGTTTTTTTGTTTATTTTAATATATTCTATCGTCTGTTAAAATTAAGGCAGTGAAACTTCTAACACCCTGTATACTAGTGATACAAGGTTCGATCGTTTTATCCCTTATAGTAAAGGAGATATGACCAAAAGAGTCAAATGTCGATGTGACACAATCACTTGCTATATCCCTCTTATCATTAGAGATACACCCTCAAACGTTATATTGTCGTGTCACATCCTCTCTATTGACCCTTCTATTAGTAGCTCTAAAGTAGGACATCGAGAAACTGGGTTAGTGCGTAATCCTCCAACAATACGCGATGAGTCTCTCTGTGGTGCTTATTGTAGCCTCTCTTTTGTCAACTTCTTTCCATAGCGACTCTTTCTAGCTCAATTTCGAAACCTGAAATCTGGACCTGATGTTAAATGTTGCGTGCAACTTGTATTCAACTGAGCATTTTTTCACTGTTTCGTTTCTTGACACTTTTTTGTGCTTTAACACTTTTGGTGTCCTTTTACTGTGTGTTTTTTTATATGACTAACGAGCAGCTTATTTTGGGCTAAAGAGCACCTTTGTATCAATAACAGATCCCTAGTTAATCCAGAGCTATATGTGTACTCTATTTTGATGATCCAGGTCTGACCATGAACTCGCAACAATTTATAACAATTTGCTGTTAAAAGTATCTAATGCAATATTAGCAGGTACTTGATATCATTCATATATAAAGGAATGTTTCCCGTGATAACTTCAACAAGCCTTGAAGTGAATTTTTGGTACAATTTCTAACATAGGGCCTCTTTGAATTTGGGTCAACTTTGGGATAGCCTGGTCTTGTGTCTCAGGTCGAATTTCATAGCATTCTAGGAAATTGTTCGAAAAAACAGAAACTGTGTCACTTTTTCCTTCATACATTTCTCGATTGTCCCCGGCGATCGCTGTTTTAATAGCATTTGAATGGCATCTTCTCTGAGTGGTGTATTTGGACCGCTGTGGGTCTGTGGACAGTTTCAGTTGTTGGATTCAAAAGATGGATGAAAATTTTAATTTTCAACCAACGGCAACACTCGCCCATATCTTGCCCATATTCTCAATTTGCGAAGAATTTTACACGACAGTATCATTGTAATCATAAGGAACTGTCCTACCTAACTGTAAAAATATACAGTAGTCCATTAAAATGCAGAAGTGTGTTTATTTTGACATCTGCGACATTCATTTGTATGATCTGATACAAAATTCTGGCATACAATTATAATATTTTACATTTTCTTGTTTCAAAAGTAACTTCTGCAGATGCAGAAATATAGAGAAACACACGCGTTTGGGAATAATCAAAAGTTAAAGTTGCATACCAAGTTCAAATGATTGACCTTTCTTACGAACCTTTTTGAATGCCATGCATATTATTAATAATTAAATTTTTATGGGCAGTCGCCCAAGGCCTGCTACACACATCCGGCGTAGTAAGATGCGGTGCCGCTGCAGTGGTGGGATTAAGTCGCACATTTCTTTGCCGGATATATGTAGTGGGACTATAAAAGAGGAATCTAGGACCTCTATGTCAAATCGATCTATTGTACCTTTGTTTTAACTCACAAAAACTTTGAAAGTGTTGAGATTTTTAATAATTCATAGATTACATAAATAGTTTAAGGAGGTATATCTGGTTTACTGAAATGCAGAGATGTACTTGAAATTTATATATGAATTTCTCTCCGTGCGTCATATTTATTTGACATTTTTTTTAATCTAGATTTTGAGATTGTTGCTGAAAGTTGTTCATTTTAAGATAGGTTTATATGGCGAAAATGGACGGTGCGGCTTTTTTGCCCATAACTGAGAAAAAAATGTAGACACCGTGTAAAAAAAGTTTTCCATAGAAAGTACACAATATTATTATTTATTTATTATTTATTATTATTATATTTTATGCTAAACTAATGTAAGTTTTGAACATAGTACAGCTGTATTAATTAGAAACAGAAACCAATAATTACATTTCTGTCTGACTTGAGGATTAATGTGGCAACGTCACAATCAGCTGACAGCAAGGAGGGAATACAATTGAAAGACTTGATAAAAACAAAATTGATTTCAAAAATATACATTTTTCCTAAATCCCATGTACATTGTTATCAACAATAAATTATCAACAACAGATGATTTTTTGTAATGTTTTTAAAAACTAAATTAATTAAAAAAGGCTAGGAAGCTATGATATATTTATTGGAATAAAAAATAGAGCTGATAAATCCTTTTAATATATTTAATGGTTTATAAAAAGATCGTAATTACCCAGCAATATTTAGGGTTACATAAAGTTTTCTTTACTTGATCAATATAATTAGTAATACTCGAGATAAAAGCATTTGTACAGAATAACAAAGGAACATAAATATTTCTCAGCAAACTTTATACCTAAAAAATTTGTTATAGTTGCAAAACTTTTGTAACATTACTAAAATAGAGATGAGAAACACGAACAGTGAGTAATAATGTAATTTCTATCACAGAACCTTCAAAATTGCATCCAACATTTTCTTTTACTTGGACGAGAAATGGGCGCGAGTGTCATTTCATTTCTATAGAACTAAATTAACATAACTATTTTCTCGTTATTTTACCAGTTCACATGATTTACGGATTTTAAATAAAGGATGCAAAACTTCGCGAGGATAATACGATATATTTGCTATATATAATAATTATATTTTACATAGTTTACACTCAATACATTTTTGAACGCGTACGTATCTTTACCCAAATTTGACGGGCAATACCTCTGATATCCGAGGTCTATAGGTTCGCAGTGTGTACAACTGCTACTCGATCATTAGCGCTGTTGCCACATCTACATAGTGTTTACGCGTTCAATAAATATAATATAAAACAATTAGTCAAGATGCATGCTATGTGCATATTGAGTAGATTTATTTGCTATATAGATAATGTTTATCGCAAATAATTTCAATAGAATTTAATTTCTTCAAGTTGGCAGCGGGCTCTAGCCCCATAAGAAAAGCATAACACCCCCCCCCCCCGCTTATTTCCCTCGGACCCCGATAAACCTCCTTAAAATAAGGTTTTTCGTCGTTTTAACTATGTTTTTCAATGCAATACTGACTCGTCAGAACAAAATGAAAACGCAGCATATGAAGTAGTTGTCCGTGAGCATGTTAAAATTGTTTTCTGTAGATCAATAGAGTATTTACAAGAAATGTAAAAAAGCAAGGAATAGAAATAGAGGATAAGGGGGAAAGAGAAATTATCCTCATTTAGTGTTTTCCTTCTAAACTTTGTAAACGTTATTCCTGAGAAATTGCTGCCAAAGCCAACTGCGAAAATTTTCATAAACTAGATTTTTAATTTCGCGGTGCACACTAATTGTCGTTTTAGAGTTTGCATAGGCCGCCGTATAACTTTTAGTAGGTATGGCAAAATAAATCTCGTCCTCCTAAAATTACTTTCGAAATTGCATTCCCAACGTTTGAGCTTGCGGATTCATAAAAACTATTAAGCCGTAGAGAAGACAGGCTGCGGAACGTTTCAGCACAATAGGACTGGGGATTTTCTATTAAAACTTTTAAACCGTATATTGAGGATTATCACGCGTCTCCCCGACGCTCGTGTCACCGACAGAATTGTTTAAAATTACAAATTGTTTTACAGCACTTGAACAACTTGTTAGAGAACTATTTGGAGCCTCTCAAGAAAGAGACATTCTTATCGAACGCGGAGATTAATGCCCTCTTCGGAAATATACAGGAAATCGTTGCATTCCAGCGGCAGTTCCTGCAAAACCTGGAGGAAGCCCTGGAGCTGGAACCGGATTTCCATAAATTTGAATACAGTAGCCAATTTAAGGTGAGCATCAGTACTTTATCTTACAATGTGGAGCAGAAAATTATTTAATAGTAGGTTTCAGACAGATTGGTTCTCGTAAAATGTAAAATATACCAAATACTTTATACATACAGAACCTTCATAAATGAATACAAGCCACGTGACCAGTAATTTTGTTTGAAAACGTAATTTTCAAATTACGCGTTGGCAAATAAATTTCGGTAAAATTAAAACAATAAGATCAAGATTACATTAAAACACAATATTCTGTTTCATCGGCTGTGATTAGTATAATTTTCCACGGGATTCTATTCAACCAATCAGAGATCGCATGATCTCGAGTGTAGACATAATAGTTTGTCATTGTTCATTGGAAACGATTAATTAATATCGGTGACGCCAAGATTTAGGGAATTTTCGTTACCAATACCAATCGTGCATTGTTGGGTTGCCTAACCTCGGGGGTCATGTGGCTTGTAGACATTTATGAAGGCTCTGTATACATTAAACAGCTGCAATCGACAGCTACATTTATTGTTATAATTACTTCCAAAACTACCTCTCATACTGTACATTTCAGACAAAGATTATTCTGCAAAGATTCTATCTATCGGAAAATAATGATTTTATATACATATAGAGGACCCTTAATAAAAATTGACGTATGCTAGTGGTTAAATAAAATGGAAAAATAAAACAACAGAACTAAGTAAACGGAAATATGATTGTTTTTGTTTTATCTGTTTAATTAGACATGTTCTGCTGTGATTAGCAGTAACGCAGTAACTACAGAAAAATAATAATGGTGAAAATCATTTTGTTTTTCTTTACAACCGTCAGTAACTTAAGACTTAATAATTTTAAGTCAGTATATGTGAAAATTTCTTTTTTAATATTTTTTGTAGATAATGCGTTTTTGCTAACCACGGCAGTGTTAAAAGTCGTAACAAGTTTTATATGACCATTTTATTTCCCAGATATATTTTACGAATGTCCAAATAAGTCAGCAACGGTACCATAAATCGTTATATTATTTTAAAATTGTTATTTGCAGCATAATTCTAGTATTCTGTGTAGTATTTTGCCAAATATAACAACAAAATAAAATCAATTAAATTGTCCCTTGCACTAAAAAGATCAGTCAAAGGTTGTTTTTATGACATCACACTAAAGAAAAACGGATAAGAATAAATAATATCCATCGCTATTATATTACATTCCTTTATGATAGTTTACGCTTCGAAAATTAGTCCATTTTGGTACTCAGAAGCTTTATTTGTATTTACATAAATAAATATACAGGGTGATTCGCAACATATCCAAAAAAATTTGGGAATAGATGCGGTGTGAGAAATGGAGTCAATATTGTAAAAGAAATTTTTGTAAAATTCTTAGTTTCCGAGAAAAAAATTATTGAAGTTGTAGTACATTCAATCATTACATAGCTGGACAACTCTAGTCTCTAACGTCATTCGCAATACGCGTGGGGAGCCACGTGGCCTCAGCGACTCCGAATACTGAAATTCGATTTTACAATCGTCGTCGTTGCGATAGTACTTACTGTGGTGGTGTTTACAGTAGTTTTTTAGTAGTTAGTGTCAAACATGGCTTGCGTGTATAGCAACTCGGAGTTGATGGATATCTTTTTAATTTATGGTGAAGCAAGACAACATTTGTGTTTACACGTCGGTGGATAAAATTTTGAACAGTTGTTGTAACATCAGGTATGTCAAATTATTTTATAATTTAAAACCACAAATTAATTTTATTAATTAATAATAACAATAACTGCTAAAGCAGCTGAATTTGCTGATATAAAATAGGTGCTATAAAATTCTATTTATTCCTTTCCTTGCGAAAGTTTTGGTCCGTTTTTATCACACTTTGCCACCATGCCGGTTGCATTGTGAGAGGTCAAGTTTTACATTGGACCAGTTTCCAGTACCGTGCAGAAGTGTATTTTTAAATCAATTTCGAACTGACCTTTTTGATTTTTTCTTTACAAAATTGTATTTGTAAGAGTACAGAGTACCAGTGTATTTGTAAGTACATCCAGAATTTTTTTTTGAATAAGTTCTGAATCACCCTGTATAATTGCATTTATATCAGACGATAAAAAATGAAAGGTGGATTTCCTGGAATTATATCAGCTTATTTAATTCCGGAATACCTAATTAGGCACTGGATATTTAATAATAAATGAATAACCGACAGGAAGGTTGCAATATATAATTAATATATCTATGTACATATTAAATTTTAGGTTTGGGTGAAAGAATACCCATGATAAACTGTGAATATTTTTCCATGTTTCACAAATAATATTATCGATTTGAACCAAAACCTTTGCTTAACTTAATCTTTTACTTTTTTCTCATCAATCCACATTGTATCTGTTTGATACGCCTTTTATACTGCTTTTCAGTCATTACTGTTCCTTTGCATCTTGGATGTTCATTCATGTTTACGGAATACGCGCAAAGCACAGTTGACAGTAATGACAGTTGACCCAACTTTTACCACTGCGCCATGGCAATGTTGCCAGATTTCATCCGTCATATTACATGCTCTTAATGAATAGACACTTATTCAAATAAATTAATTGCCGTGCATTAAACAAAAAATATATACAAGCTAATATGTGTTGCATAAATTTCATTCGTATTTATTATATTTAGTTCGCTCAAATTGGTTTATGTAAGGTTGGTACTACAACGAAACTACCGTGTATAAGCATAGGCTTCCCTCCTGCACCGCCTGTCTCGCAAGAGATGTATCGAACCTCCTTAAATTTTACTATAAAATTAAATTTAATTAACCACAACATTGCATGGTACAAATTCTATTTCGATACCAGTAAAACCTAATACAGTCCATACGATATTTGTTGAGGTAGAATTCCAAGATGACCCCTGCGTCACTTTTTTGGAATTAACTGCATTCGACACCCGAGGTATGTAGAAAGACATTGGCGGCGTGGCGTTCAACATAGCAGCTTTCAGTGCATACTGTGTTTTTATTGGCTCATTCTTTCCTTGTAATTCTTGTACGAATATCGTACGGACTGTACATCAGGCAGAAAGTCACGAAATTATGTACCGTAAAACACGCTTATACTGAAAACTAAAATAAATGTAATAAAATGAAGTGGTGATGTATTGGGCCGTCGTCGTTTGGCCGAATTAACGTTGGCAGTTTGTTTTTTGCCCTCCGGACGCCCTGTATTACCGCCGCATGTAGACTGATATTGTGTAATTCACCTAAACCGGATCAATGTCAGTTGTTACTAACTCTACCAGTATTAATGCAGCAGATAAAAGTTAGCAAGTAAAAATCACGGAAACGGGATTCACAAACTAAACACAGTGCATTAATAAATGGTAGATAACACGTACTTTTTAAGTATTTTAATTTATTTTTATTATCTACATTTTATAAAACATCAAAAATAATTATTTTAAAACATAAATCCATACATCAGTATTAGTTAATCATGTAAAAATATAATTTTTATAAAAACACTAAATTTTTTGACATTCATACAAAAGCAGTAAGTACCTATATTTTTACAAAATTATTTTTCATTGCCATTTTGCTTTCTGTCGCCCCTTTAGTTTCATATACAGTTGGTATATAAAGGAAGGAGCCACAGACCACCTAGACTGGCCGTATCTAATTCCAATGCACGGGTACCAGTGAATGCAAAATCCGGGAAAGTGGAGTGTGGAAGGCAATCTGATCGCGCGCATCTTTAAGCAGATCCGGATTAAGTAATATTTTTATTACATATTAAACATTATATTGCATCTTATGACAAATATTCAATTTTAAGTTTGTAATTCAGAAAATAGTATATTTTAGTGTCATATTAAATAAAACTACAAAATAATTTAAATATATTTATTGTCCTCTAAATAATATTAATTTATTTAATATTTGCCTTTTCGTAGATTTTACCGAATTAAATAATTTGACTTCATGATTTATTCGTACAATATACTTTTCACATTCGGCCCTTACAAGTTCTATTAAATGATTACAATTGTTAGGCAAATTATCAAATTGATGTTCATGCAAATTTTCATATATGTTCACATTCAGAAAGATTTTTAATACATGATAAACAACTTTATTTTTCTGTAGCCTAGGTGTTCTGCTTTCATCATTATTTAAAAAATGTATGAATTTTTCTGTTTCTTGGCATATTACTACGATATCTCGAGATGGATACGTCAAACAACCACGATCTTTAATAAAAATTAATTGACTGTACGGATACTGTGTATTTGACATTAAACTATTACACAGTCTTCACATTTTATTGGCTTTATTAGAGAACTTGTTATTATTATTATTACGAAACCGCCAATATATACTATAATGTACTTACTAGTGTCCAGTCCTGTTTTTTAATAGCCTTCACTCATCTTCGTTTTATGTCAACATTCCTTGAAAATCTGTAAAATTTTAAATATTAGGTTTGAAAAATCGAAGCGTACTTAATTTTTTTTTTTTGTCACAAAACTCTCTGATTTTTCTAATCACATTTTGCCAACTTTCCAGGGTGCTGAACATGAATCTGAAATTAGTTTTGTTTGCGATTTTTCAGTTGAAAAAATATTTAGGTAATTAATTTTCAGCTATCTCGAAATGACGGGAATTGGTAAAATTTCATAAAAATTTGAGACTCACATAAAGCAAATAATTACTAAAAATATTTTACAGTAATTCATTCATTATTTTATAATAACAGTATCACGTTAATCACTACACTATGTGGGCGAACAAAATTATAAAGCTAACCCTGGAAACTTGTGATGTCAACCGAAATATGGCGACATATTTACCTTTTATATATTCCTTTTTTTTACTTACCTAAAGAAGAAAATTTTTCGCCTCTCTTCACCAACTCGATCACTTCTATTTATACAATGTTTTACAATACGCTTGCCCATGATAAAACGTCTAATTATCGAAATCACAGTGATGCGTACACCTAAAATGCTAGGACACGACTGAGCGCTGGGCTCCAAATCAGGCTCCAAAGTGTTTTCACCAAAGTCGCTCTATAAGCCAGTCTAGGTGGTCTATGGAAGGAACAGACAACACTGGAAACCACGAACATACATCCGAATTTGAGAGGCACTCAGTGCTCAGTGACGGTGTGGACAAAATTTTAAATACAATTTAAAAACCGAATGTTTATTCGATTATTTATTTGGTTTAAAAAAATATTATTATTATTTCAGATGATTATTCTGTAGAAAACTATTATAACCCCTAAAAAACTGACACCCACTTAAAGTTACACCCTGTAAGGTGATGCGTATATTGTATTTTTTACTTATCTGCTTTTTTCAATATGAAATGTTTAGGTAAGGCAAAAGTTTCATAAAAACAACAATAGACTGATTTTTCTCGTGCAAGAGTGCTAATTAAATTTATTTTATTTTTTTTCCGAAGTGCCAAATAAACAGAAAAAAATAAAATGTGACATACAAAGAATAAACTAACAAGAAAAATAATTTCAATGCACCTCGCTAAGATATTAAGTACAATTATCCTTCTTCTTCTTCTTCTTTTTCTTCTTGTTCTTTTTTGGCCTTCTCCCAGAGGGTATATGTTTTTTATATCATTATATTTAGTTCTAAAATCCTTTTTAGAATGAAATTATGTAAAATTAAATAATATTATTGTTTTCAAGTACTTAGATAATAAAACGAGTTGAAGAAACAGTTATAAGTACGGAGAAGTTTTTCATTTTAATTTAAATTATTCAATTTTTCATTTCTAAGAGATAATAAAATATAATTAATAACCTTTAAATTACCTTCTATTTTTCAAATTAAACTGGACGAAGCTGGTTCTTGTCCGACTTGAATGAATATAAAATTAAAGCTATTATCTTGCGCATAGCATAAAAAGTCGACCAAAGGGTGCGATAATTCAGGACCGTTTTTCTCGTCCACCCACTAAAATTTTAAATATATTTCCCAGTACTTAACTTTTCCTTAATTGACTTTCAGAACGTCTTATTCTCCATTGGCAGCGCATTTTTATATTATGTAAATCACTTCAAATTATACAGTTCGTTCTGCGCCAGCCACAGCAAAGCCCAAAAAGTTTTGCATCCCAGTAAGTATTCCAATACTTTTTATTGCACAAAGTTAAAGTGGATTTGCTTAATTCTAGATGAAGGGAATCAGGCGCTACAAGAATTCTTAGCAGCGAGAAATCCTAAACAACAGCATTCCTCTACGCTAGAATCCTATTTAATAAAGCCCATACAGAGGATACTGAAGTATCCTCTGCTGCTGCAACAGCTGAGAAATTTGACGGATTCCAATAGCGACGAACATCAGCATCTTGTCGGTAAGTTTTATTTTCCGCAATGAGGTAAAAAAACGTTTTAAAATGCATACTTATTTTAATATAGAGGCCTTAAAGGGAATGGAAAAAGTTGCGGAACACATCAACGAAATGCAAAGAATTCACGAAGAATATGGAGCAATATTCGACCACCTGTTTAGACAGCACCAAAAGTCTTGCAAGCAGGTACCTAAACAATAATTAGTCCAGAAACAATGACTGTAGTTACAACTAAAACATTTTTTGCATTTTTAAACGCTTGATAGTTTGAAAAAGTCATGTTAGATACATATACGGGTTAATTTATTATCACTAAAAGTTGAATTATAAGTACAGAAACAGCAGACGCAGGAGGAGGAGATGCATTTTGTCATCATCAATTCTATATTATTACATCCAACTCTCATCCCTTCAAGTTTTAAGAAGAAAGTGATGCCACATTTAGAATATACTTGTATGCTCTTCAAAACTACGTTTTCTTGTTTGTCTATTAATTTATTATAGTCATTAATCTTTTTATGAAAGCTGTATAAAAAAGTTAGTCGAAGTTAAAGAGAACAAAAAAAAATTAAATTTAACGTACCTATACATTTTCCAAATTTACCCCATCAATATTATTAAAAATTTTGTTTCCAAATACTCTTATGTATTGTTGTTTCAGTTGTTCAGGATTATTTTGAGCAAACATACTTATAGACCAGGGCGGATCTGTTTTGAGGTGGATGTGAGAGGGGGCAAGCAATTTGGATCTGGATTACCTTCAGTACAAGTCACATAATAAAAGTGTAGACCTTTTTTTTAATTTTTAAACAATTAGATTACATTTATCAATTTGCAATTTAGTTTTTTTAATTTTATCTGTATTTAACAAAAAAATTAATTTCCAAATATATTTTTTTTTAATTTGTTTAAATTAAGAAATAATTAAGAAGAAATTAAAGAATTATTTAAATAATTCTAATGATTAAAACTAAATACATTCATATTCAGAATGTTGAAATATATACGTATACAAATTTTTTCATTTAAAAAATTTAATAGCATAGGGTAAAATATACAGTATATTAAATGAATAAATAAAAAACTTTGTTTATAACATAATATGTGCAGATTAGACAGTTGGCATTACGTTATTCGAATTCCTTAGCTCGCGAGACATCGGATTTAAAAAAAAAAAGGTCGAAATTGGTCTATTAGAAGCCGAGATAATGCAATTTTTTTCGTACCTTCGCATTTTGAATCTCCGAATTCAATCTCGGGACGAAAGCCCCCTCCCCCACTTTTCATGTTTTGAGTCACTTTTCGCGCGTGCGAGCCACAACTTTTCCGCTGATTTATCTATGTTGCCAATAACTTATGGATATCCAGCTTAGAACTCGGAAGTCACTGGTTCAAGGATTATTGCTAAATTGTTTATAAATTAACGGTAAATGCTGATAAACTTCGACCGCTTATATCTCGAGAACCAATAAACTTAATTTAACTTTTTTTAAAAAAAAGAAACGTCTTTTCGAGTACTTTAAAATTATAATTTTTGAAAAAAACTAAATTGCAAATTGATAAATGTAATCTAATTGTTTACTGTAGCCGTCCTAATCAACCGATTTCAATTTTTCAAGAACCATTTGAAAGGTTGAGTGGTCTTTTCTATGTGAAATTTGCAAGTATCTGGATGCTTTATTTGAGGCAGTGCAACATTTTGAAAATTCGAAAATTTTTATCAAAAAATTATTTTGCGAAAACTATCGAATTTTTTAGCAAAATTAGAAAATGCCCTGGAACCAATTAAAATATTTTTTAAAAATTATCTAAAAAACTTTATTATTTTGCCTTTTTTTCATCAATTATTGCTATTTTGTAACATCGCTAATAAATTTATACATTTTTTACTTACAGTATATTGTGCAAAATTCAATTCTAAAACTTTTTTCCTTTTCAATATTCTTCCAAAGTGCATAAGTTCTAAGATATAAGAAAAAAATTTTTAGACACATGAAATAAATATCTATTTAGTAACTATATTTTCCTGGTAAATAATATGTGTAAAGACTGAAAATAATTCAAGTGATCATAGTATTTTCACAAATAACATTCGTTTATCGTTTTTTTAGCCCATAGATTTGAGTCCAGGGGATTTACTCTACTATGGTGGAGTCGAATGGTTGAATATTTCTGATTTCTTGGGCAAAATCAAGAAAGGTCTAGAATTACACGCGATGTGCTTCGTTTTCAAAACTGCAGTAGTATTTCTCTGTAAGGAGCGACTGAGACAGAAAAAGAAATTAATGGTAAGTACGTTGTTGATAATTGAAATATACAAGGTGTCCCTTAATTCGGCTACCAAGTTTCTATAGGGTGTTCTGGGTTAAAGACGTGAAAAATCAATACCAAATTTGGTACACGTTTTTGTCTCTTGTCGACTTATATTTACACAGATTCCAAAGTAATAATAATGGAATGCCTGGAATTTTTCATAATTACGTTGATAAAAAGAGTCGAGTATATTTTTATCTCCTGGAAATTGCAAGTTTAGATTCTGCAACATGAGAGTGATGATGATTCAGCAAAAAAACTGTGATGTTCACATTCACATACAAATAGCTGTTTCTAAGTACTAAGTAAAAATGTTTAAAATATTATAATACATTAATTCGTTTGTAATCATGCATGAGTACATAGTACATGTTAAATACATAATACAGTAATACAATAATTATTGCTGTTCTTAGTAAGACTTTTTTGTCTTTATTTTACTATTTAAGTTACAATTGGTCGGAAATCTTAAATAGTCATGTTTACTATTTAGAAACATTTATTTACATGTGAGAATGAACATCAAAACTTCCTATATCCTTTAACAAATATCCTTTAACTAAATTTTCAATAATAATTGTTTAGTTACCGCCATTCTTTCTTATTTTCTTCATTCTTTCTTATTTCTTATTTTTTCTTATTACTTCCATACTGGCATTTTCCGAGCGACTAAGAAAAGCTCTTGCATCTTTTTGCCAAGGTGGCTATGAAAAAGTGGGTTCGGTGCAACCCATTTGTTTGCGAGTCTGTGTAAATATAAGACAGTAACGGCCAATAGTATGTGCCAAATAGTATTATTTCAATTAGTTTAGAAGATATTTAAGAAAGATTATTGTTAAAAGATCATTTCAAGATCCCATACCATTGCAAGGAACCAAAAGTGACCCATAGTTAAATTGAACTTTTTGTGTTAATTTTGACCATTTGACACTAGTAGTTTGGTAATCGAAATAAAAAACACCCTGTATTGCCCGTTTCAAGGTTTAATCAGTAGGTACCATTATTTACAACGTTTGTAAAAACATTTTCATCTACAAAATTGTCTATTAAAACAATTTTTATGAAAATCTTTTAAGTAAGAAAAACAAATCTTTATTTTGTTTTTCTTTTACTTTATACATGGTGGTCCGTAATTATTGGAGTAACTATAGATTCTAGGCATAAAAATAATGAAATTTAGCCAAATATGCCTTAACAAAATATTGCTCGTTTAAGAGATACAGGATGTTAAAGACTGATTTTAGATTTATTAATTATTTCATAAATTTTATTTTATTGTTGCAAATTTGTTGTTGGTTGCGTGAAATAAATGTTTTAGATAATAATCGGCAAAGCCTACTTGGATTAGTAAAGAAATATTGTCAGCAGTGGTCAGAAAGACCGCTTGTATTAATATTAAATGATTCAAGTGCGAATATCTTGAAACTGGGAAGCAAGGATGCCTTTTTCCTTTACAAATAATCAGTCAATTTTTTTATTCAAAATTGTGAGAGGATTGCATAAAAAATTATCATGAGCAATTTTTATTCATAAGTGCTCAACTAACGCCCTCTATTAGTAACCTGATAACTGAGTTCAGATTCGGATTTTCCACCATCAAAAACCCACTATTCCTAGTTTTCAAGTTATTTTCTTTAAAACTGGAAAATTGATTTACATTCAAATAAATAATAAGTCTTTAACACCCTGTATGTCTTAAAAGAGCAGTATTTTGTTTAAGGCATATTTGACTAAATTTCATTATTTACATGCTTAGAACTATAATTACTATTATTACGAACGCCCTGATTATTATTTATCCATATAACATTATTGTCTAAAATTATTTTAAATAAAATAATAACAAAGCAACAAAACAATAAAACTTCAAAGAACACTAGGTGGCAATCTGTTTTTATTAAAAAACCTAATAGAAAACCTAAAGTAAGACACCTTATATCGTGCACACTATTTGAATTAACAAATCTGTATAAACTGTCTTTAAATTATCTATACTGTAATGTAGAATTTAAACAAATAAATATATAATACTTTTTTACAAAAGGGAGTGTCCAGCAAAGGTTCCTCGTCCGAAGTAGAGATTATTAGGTATCAGGTACTGATTCCGGTTACGGAAGTACAAGTGAGGGCCTCTTCTGCCAAGGATATGGATTCTCATTTCCTGTGGGAATTGATTCACTTAAGAAGTCAATTACAAAGGAGATCGGAGAAGGTCTATGTTCTATCTAATAGGTAAGTAGAGCTTTACGTCTTATGCATATTTAGGTAATCACGTTACGAATGTATCAAATATCCCGACCACCTAGATGCCACAGAATAATAGGCATCATAGATATCTTAGTGTTTTATTGCTTTTAAGGAAATAGTTCCTGCTAACAAATTAATGGTTTACCGAACTTATTATATTTTAGAATAACAGGGTTATTTTTAATACAATGAATATTTTTTTTTTCAATCTCAAGGAAAATGAAAATGTTCATTCCATAAAAACGTATACCTACCTTTTGTACTTTTGGTGAAGGAATTAATTAAACTTAAAACCGTGTATCATTAAGCGAAACAGAAAAGTCACTAAATGTCTGTAGGAATGACAAAACTGTTAAAGATTTATGCACCAATTTTTTATGCAAATCCAGTAATTCTGCAGTTCTTCTATCATTGCTGTGCCATTGACAAAATAGCTAACGCACTAAACTGGGCATTAGATGTTGGAAATTGGCAACCCAAAAAGAATGCAGGCTCTTCTGAGCTGGCATCCAACAATAAAGTTTGACGTGGTAACTCTTCTATTCGATAATAGGTGGCAGTTTTAGCAGTTCCAAAGTGTGGCAGTGTTGTCAAGTAGTAATAACTAAATAAATACATATAAATTAATGCATTTAACTTTGTAATTGGAGTGGTATATGAAATGTATCTTTTGTTTGGAAATAAAATAAATCAAGTTAGAATTAAAAATATGAATTGATCTATTTAATTATTTATACCACATAGGCATTCGTTCATTCTTTAAAATATTTTTAATACCTACATCATACATTTAAGTAAATAAATATAGTAATACAAGAAATAGACATTGATAAAAAATGGTACATAATACATCCCTGCATCCACGTGACAACATTGCCAAATAGGTACTAAGCTTTGCTAGGATACGCGTAAGCATCGTCTAGGAATGCCGGCGACTGCATTTGAATCTTCTGCTGGTGGTGTACTTTATCGGCAATTCGAAATTCCTATTCCAGGCGCGGTCTGGTGCGTTAGCTATTTTGTCTGTGGCTATACTGAGCTATTTGTCATAAATCAGACGACTTGTTGTTACTTAAAATACCACTCAAAACCATATTATTTGAAATCTTGCCAACTAGATACTTAATTAAAATTTTAGGAGCCTGGCGATTTTTTCCAAAATAACCGTTTTAATTTGTAAACCGATAATTAATAATATTTGAAATTTCTCATCATAACTTTACGCCTTAGGTATTTTTAATTTGCAACTAGATATTATTTTTTAAAACATATTTCAACTATTAACTTTGTAAGATTATTAATTTAGTATATGAATACGGGTCTCGTATTTTTCTTCCTATTTTCATTTTGTGATGTAGTTATAGTGAATGAAAATTTTTGAAAGTTCTTTACTATAGGAAGTGTATAGTTATACCTACAACATAATAGGAATAGACTAACTCAAAATCTGATTTCTTGTTGTGAAAGAAAAATTTATGATTCCCGCCGTACTATTACCATTATAGTATAAAGACTCACATCTAATACGTCATCGCTTAGTGACGTCGCTGACAGTGGTTTAATCAGTCCCTGATCGAACTTTTACAATTTTGTTATTCCGATATACAATTTTAGCTTAATACAATACTTCCGATACTTTTAGAATTTTAGTTATTCGTGTTCAATTTTAAATAATTTTATATACAGGATGTCCGAAAACGAATATGCCTTATTTTAAGGGCAGTTCTTTTGGGCGAAAATAAATTTATATAGATCGAGTTACACTAATGCAATTTTAATTCTTTTAAAAAATTGTACAGTCTATAAAAAATAATTTTTTATAAACATTTTTTACTCACATTCTTATATTTAAAATTATTTCAATAAAATTAAATATTTTTGGGATAGTCGACAACACGTACATAAATTTATTTCTTTATTTAAACGGTTTTTTAAGAACGCCTGAAACAGTCTTGATTTTGCTAATATTTGTATTTGTCTTAGTAAAAATTTTTTTAGAAAATTCATAGGTATTTCTTTCCTACAAAAGTATTTTCGTTGCAAGTCACTAATATGCGACAAAAATTCCAAAGAAAAATATATTCTATTTTACTTCATTCAACGGATAATCGAACATTAAGTGTTGCTAATGTACGCCTTTCATGCCCTTTATAAATTTTAAGCTGGTTGAAATCTTCATCCCTTTCATCTAATTTCTCCCCAGAATATTTTCTTGTTATATTCACACATTTTCGTGCATAATCGATGTTGGCTAAAGTTAATGACATTTCAATGCATCACTGATATTAATTGATGATCTTTCATACAAATAACAAATATTTATAGATGTTGTTGATAAGACTCAAAGTTACTCATATTACATAACCACTAACCTTATATTATTTAAAGACAGTAGTATAAAAACCTACTTTATTTTGGTTTATGGGATAATTGACTTTTTCTTTCCAGTACGGCGGAATTCAGAAACGCGTTTCTGAAAACAATTAGGCAAATTATTAGAGAGTCGGTCAGGAATATGTCGATACCATCTACGAAGCCTGGTGCTGGGCCAGGAATACTTCTAGTCACTGGTCACAAACCCTGTCACACAAACAGTCAGACATTGGAAAGGCCAGATCGGGTAAAAACGGTGGTAGTGCAGGGATCCCATACCTTAGGAAAAGTCAGAAAGCCGAAAACGTCTCAAAGGCACTCAGCCGGTAACATCGATTACGATAATATCAGTCAAGAAGCCGAAGAGCCTCCTAATAGTAACTTTCGGACCAGGAGTAAAACAGTCGGAGACACTGCAGGTATGTAAATCGTAATTACTCGTTGAATGCTTGCATTTTAACCCTACTTAAAAGGATTTCGTAGTCATTAGAAAATAACTAATACGCCTCATATCAATCAAAAGTAAAAGTTTAATACGAGACGAGTGTGTAGATGCATTTCAGAATCACCTAATACAAACTAATAAATGTTATGTTAACTTCAGACAACATGAAGAGGCAGGAGCTGGATAAAAATGACTCAGGTATAAAATCGGAAGGGGAAGATGATTCGCAAACAGGAACGGTGAAACCTAAAGCAACCCTAGGAAAGACTCCAAATCATTTAACTTTAAGGTAGCAATCACACAATGAAATTACAGTAAAACTAAACCAATATTTTCAGTACAACTTCGACGCTATCAGCCGGTAGCACCGGAAGTCAAGCTAGATTAATTCAGTCCTCGCATCCTCCAGAAACCTTTCAACCAATGCAAATAGAAGAACTAGGTAAGCATCCATCAAATGTCCAAACTATAAAGGCTGAAATTCACCCCGCCAGAATCAAATCGCCTCAGAAACAAGAGAAAAAACTTGGAAAACAGAACTCACTAAACAAAAAAGACGATCCACACACAACAGATCCAAGTCCAAACCAATCTCGTAAAAACACTCCTAACCATTCCAGAAAGTCTAGCCCAAACCAATCCAAGAGATCAAGTCCCAACAAAATTTCAAAGCGATCAGATAGCTTAAGTCCTAAAACTCCTCGACGGTGTAGTCCCAAGACTCCGAAAAAATCCCTCGATAACGGTCCAAAGCCATTAGAAAATACTGGTAAGAGCCCCAGGAAAATCAAGTCCTCGTTAAAACAGCCTTCGAGGTCGCTGAGTATTGAAGCACCTACATGTGTCGAGTGTTATTTGTCAGGAAAAACAGACAAAGGAGGATAGCACACACATTTTCGTCACAGAAGGAGCAAAAGTTTTGTTCTTTCTCGTTTTAGCAGCAACAGCACCGACGAAATAAAGTGCTAAAGACAATTAGTTAATTTAGATAGAGTAAATTAGTGAAGCGATGTACCGAATGCTGCCCCGATGTTTAACGTTTTGATTTTCCTAATTTTCTGTAGCAGTCCCGCTTTGCTGTAGAAGTAGAAAGCTTAATGTCTGTTGGACTTCGAACGACCCTATTATATGTTTCAATTCCACGTACTTTGCTTTGCCATCACGTAGACCCGATATCGATGTGTTGCCATTGCAACTAATAGAGACAGATTTAGAAAAATGCTCAATAACGAACATATCATAACTGTAATAACAGTTTTACTAAGCATATGTGTCTAACGATTTCATTGGCTACTCTTATCAATTTTTTAAATGGGCTTGCAAACTCGTATTTTAAAGATTAATCCTAAGGAATTTCGTAATTACGCTTAATGGGATACTTAAACAATTTAATTAATATTTAACAATTTAATATAGAAATACTTAAATTGCAACCTTTCAATAATAATTTTAAATGTTTAGTAAATATAAAAATAATATAGGCACTGTTTTAATTAAACTTAAAATAGTTCTTTCTTTATTATTTATTTTCTTTTTTTATAGCTTCCTTAAAATTATATGTTTATTTCATAAATGGTGCCATAAGGAAATGTACTAAAATTTTTGAAATTGAAAATTATAAATTAAATTATTTTTCGGTGGTATCACAAATTCAGCAGCATAACATTATTTTAATGTTGCAGTAAGTAACTACATCTTAACTTGTTTTTTAAATTATTTTTATCTCAATTAGAAATGTCAAAAAAGGTATTTAATTTATGAGAAATATTTATATATATTTAAGTACTGGAGAAATATATTAATGTATTGGAGATGTAAAGTTGTGAACTGCGGCATAAAGATAACAGTCGAAGGTATTGACGAAAAAGTAACTTTACTCAATGTCCCAGGCTTTATTTGCGATCTAGTACACACCAGGACACATAAACACTTACTACAGCAAAATTGTATCCATAACCCACACGCAACGTAATAAAAGTACAAGTTTAACAAATACTATTGATTTAAAGTCTTAAATCAGTCATCCCATTGCAGGTGACTTGCTTGAATTTAACGCTTCGAATTCTTATTGAAAAGGTACACTTTTTCACTCACTAGTGCACAAAATTGTAAAGGAGGTCCGTCGTAAATTTGGTCCTATTTTTTCCGTTATTGTTCAAGTTATTGAAACACATTCTTCAAATAATTGAAACACAAATACAGACTGGATGGAGCACATTCAGCAACTGACTACCACTGCCCATCTTGTATATCATTAGTCCAGATTAACCATAAGGCCTGTTTTGGTACTAACAGAGAATGGTTCTAGAACGGTTCAAACTAGCTCACTGTCCACTAACAGAATCAAAACAAGCTTATATGTAACCTAGGGTGGCCCAAGAAATAAACAAATATTTTTTTTCGTGTCTCTTGTGAAAATATGTTAGTTTATATTTTAAGAGCCCCCTCAAAAAATCAACTTAAAAAAAATTTTTTTAGAGGTCGCTCAAGATTTTTAAAAATTTTCAAAATCGTCAAATATTGAATTTTTTTTTCTCGTTATTTTATCATTTTCTAGGTTGATAAAAATCTCTATTCTGAAAATTTCAAATCGATATTTTAATTTCAAAAGGTCACTCATAATTACATATTTTACTTTCAAAGTAGTGTAATGTTTTCGAGCGACCTCTAAAAATAAATATCAACGAAATAATTTTTTTTATTGACTTTGATGAACAAAAAAATAGAAATAAATCACGAGACACTTAAATTTTAAAAAATAAAAAAATTATAAATTGATACTCGCAGTGCGGTAGTAAATTTTACCTCGAGAAATTTTTTAAGTGTCTCGTCTTTATTTTTAGAGGTCGCTCGAAAACATTTTAGGTAGGTACACTACTTTGAAAGTTAAAATAATTATGATTGACCTTTAGAATATAAAATATCTATTTGAAATATTCAGAATCGAGATTTTTTTCAACCTAGAGAATGATAAAATAACGAGAAAAAAATTAAAAAAAGCAATTTTTGACGATTTTAAAAAATTTTAAAAATTTTGAAAATTTTTTTGAGCTGATTTTTTGAGGGGGCTCTTAAAACATGATAAGCTAACATATTTTCACAACACGAAAATAAAAATTCGTTTTTTTGGGCCACCCTAATGTAACCCTACTTGACTGATGTCCAAGATGTGTATTTCGCAGACCACGGTATAGCTATAGCTAGACCGTAACTTAAAAATAATAATTACAAGTTTTTTTAATACCTTTTTTGCCAGAACAATTGAATATCATTACTGGGATATAACCCTAACATGCATTTCTTATGGAACTATATTTTCACATATTTGGAGAGAACAATTTTTTTACCATTACTGTGATACAAGGTTATATGGGTAGACATCTAATAGCAAGAAATATTTAGCCAAAATAAGAACTAAAGCAAGCTGCAGATTGTGAAGTTACTTGTCGGATATTTGTCAAATGCAAACAAATGCCGTATCGTGTGGATGCTGTATATCGATATATTCGAAAACATTTCTTCACTCTTCACATCGTGTGTATGATACAACTGCGCGCTAAGGATTTCGGCTAAATAGTCTACAAAATATATTTTATTACCTACGGGTAACACATATATTATTCATTTGATTATATTTCCGTTACTATTAGAATTAAAGGCAGCAAATTTTATATCACTGTATTTACAAGAACGCATTCTCTCTAAATATGCAAAAATATGAAGGATGTTTATTTAAAAAAAAAACATATCATTATCATATCTCTGTAAACCGTAAAAATTTTCTACAACATTCACTCCAATGTCGCAAAATAACGGAAAAATTAGAGGTGCCACATTTTGATAAGCCTCCATACAAATCGTACGCCAATTTTGACACTTTTGAGGTTGTTCATATTTTCGAGGTAGATAGACAAAAATAGTGAAATTATTTTTGCTTATAGACTAAAGGAAAAGTGTTTTTCATTTTTTTTGTGAAATCTAATGTTCGTGATAATTTGTTACTTTTGGTTTACTGTTTTTTCGTAGAAGCTAGTAACGTACATGGTATTTTTCTACAACTTTCAATTTTACAGTTATAATACAAATATACAGAGTGTTTTGGAAAAACGACGAGCTGTAAATTCCAGTTGACAGAAAAATAAAAAAGAATAAAATATGATTTATTTGTAACAAACAATGATATCCAAATAATTAAAATATTTTTATCTGTGTTCATCATATACATTCACACAAATGACAATAAAACATTGTGCGGACAAGAGCAGTTCGACAGGATCCATTGTGGAAATAGTATGTGGTAAAAATTGTTATATTGATTTTTTTTTATTGATGATTAATAAGTTTCAAGATTATTATAGACTTCTAGTATTTACACTGGACTTTTAAAAAGACTATGACCATCTGATAACCTCCAACTCAAAATATCCGAACAACTATGATGTCTCTGGGCTGTCTGTAAATCCACCATATGTTCTTTGTGACCAGTTCTTTTACCACAATTTTCAACACAACTGATTAGACAATTAGATAACAACCAAATAGTTTGATTTACAAATATATGGAATAAAAAATTTGGTTTACGCAAGGAATTATTGTTAAAATCGCTAAAAAGCTTTTTTTTATAAAAGTCATCTAGCTTTTCCTCCTTCATATACCTACAATGTGTTTGAATGCGCCATACTTTAAGGGTAATTTTCTTGGATGAAAATAAACCGATTTAAACCAAGTCAAAAACAAAAGATAAGAAAAGATAAGCCTATGGTCCACAGGAAGTAATGTCTTATTTTTTGATGTTCTATCAACTCCTGAATTTATGACACCTTTTTCCAAAATATCCAATATATATTTTTTAAATAAAACACTCGATTTTTGAAATCTGTGAAAAATGTATGTTTATATAATGCATCATAGTACGCAATAATTACACAAAAAAAATCTAAAGTTAACTATAATAGATATACTTACCAATATTTTTGTTAATTGTTTTATGGTACAATGAAATATATCCACACTTGCCTAAATGTGTGATTACAAAATCATAATATTTTTTTGAAACATTTCTTACGGATACATCAGGTATAAAACGTGACAAAAACTGATTTATATTTCAATGGCATGTCCCATTTGAAAGGATATAAATTAGTATTATAACCGAAAAACTAAATGTTATTGAAAAATACCGCTTATGCCTTGGCCAAACGCAAAAGTTTGAAAAAAAACTAATAAATGGAAAATTTTCACATATGAAAAAGTTCGATAAAAATGTGTGGAAAATGAAACTCTAATGCCTAAGACTACTAACTACCTATTTTTTGTTAATATCCTCAAACAAAGTGAAGAACCACCGAAATAGTGGAAAAGATCCCGCACGATCATGAAAATGTAAGTTAGGTCAAGTTGGCTGAAATTGTGGTAAGTTGTTGGTTTTATATTACTGACCAAAAGTCGCCACAACACTTTAGATTCGAAAATCAATTCTTCCCTACTTATCATAGTCTGAGTCAGTTAGCATGAGTAATATGAGTAGAATATTGCAATAAAAACATTAACATTTGTGAAATGTTTATAGAAAAAATTAATTGGATGACTTCGAAAAGTTGCTAATTAACATTTTAAATATGTTCCACATACCGAACTAGTCGCTGTACTGGTCCCAAGCCCGGGATCCCATCACTCAAAAGATGGGGAAGGAGGAGGGAAAGAATAAACAATCTCTATTAAAACCTAGGTCACTCTGTCTATGAAAGTAGCACCATATATTTTTTGAACCATAAGATTGATTATGTGGCAGTTGTACCATAAGAGCTGCGGAGCTGCAGAACACATAAAATTTTATGTATTTAATCATATTAAATATCAACAAAATATTTAAAGAATCCAAATATTCCAAATGTACTCGCGCTAAAATAAATCTAGGAGCTTATATTATTGTTTATTACGACGCGAGTTACGCTTCTTAATATATGCAACCTCATATAGAAAATGTGTGCACAGCGAACAGTTAGATGCGTCCTTAGTTTTTATTGGCTAATCAGGCACGTGACCCAGTACACGAACATAATGGGCTTATGTGGCTGCAACAGCGACAGCCACTGCTGCTAAATGCAGTAATATTTCGTACGTGGCGTGTGGTGGTTTATTTCTGTGAGCGGCACGTGTGAATATCCTCGTTTAGGCGTCTACGGATATTATAGTTATTAAAATGAATAGCGTTCCGTTTTTACAAAAAACTTTATTTGGTTCTCTGCCTTATGATAATAAAAGAATTAAGTGGGCCAACACCACGATTAAATATTGAAGTTAGTGGAACAAGCCGAAATAAAAATTATAAAAGACAATTTAACAATAATGATAATGTATACACAAAAGCAGAGTGGGTGTGCGGGTGTGATGTAAAAAATACACTGTTTTGTAGAGACAGAAAATTCGGACAACCGTGATGTGTTTCATGGACTCATAAATTTTAGTGCAGATCTTGACGACATATTAAAAGAACATCTAGCCACATGGGCATGACCGGGATTTTCTGTACCGGGAATTAGCTGTATGGTCCCGGATTCCGGATTTGCACATATAACTCCCAGAATATAATATATGTACATTGTATAAAGAAAGATAAAGAAAAAATCATAACACGACGAGGAAAATTAAAATTCGTTGAATCGTTGGTAAACTTCACAAACGATTTTTTTGTTTACAAACAATATTCAATAATTTAATAAAATATATTTAGTTTATTCCAATTTATCAGTCAGTAGGTAATTCGTGAATAGATGTTTCAAAAAGGAAACAATTTCAAAAATCTTTCTTGTGAAAATCTGTATTTTTGTATAAATGGATTGTTCCTTGAAATTCAGAAGTGCCAGGAAAACGCGTGACCTTGAAAGTTTTAAAAATATTCGCCTGCGGCGCCGTTTAAAGACTCCGGGCATTCAATATCCCGGAATTCAATTCAACAAATGTAACAACCCTAACCAGAACACATTCAATCAATGTTCACGCGCCGCCATTGAATTTATTGCGTTATCAAATTCAGTTATTGAGTGTACCTATAAACATTTCACAATGCAAATTGCAATATTCTACTCATACTGCTTTGCAGCCATCATCAGCAGAACTGACTCAGAACTGTGAATAAGTACTGTGGAGACTTTTGGTCAGTAACACAAAACCAACAACTTACCATAATTTCTGCCAATTTGACCGAGCCCACTTTTCCATAAAGACTGTGCGGGGTCCTTTGCCCACCCTACACACTATCCTAATTCCAAATCATTATTTTAAACTTTTCCGACACTTTGGTAGCACATAATTCACTTTTTTAATATTTTTCGCAATAATGTATAGATTGAGAGTTTCGAAAGAATGCTTATGCAAATCTAAAACCACATAATGACTCAGCAACCTAAACTTGTATAGTAAAAAATTTACTGAACTAAATTTAAAACGGACTTTGTGACACGATAACTATAAATTAACCACTAAAACCGCAGAACTTGTTAACGAGGACTAGAGATTGGCTATGGAGCACAAGAAAAGTGTAGCAAAGCAAAAGTACGTCTCGAACATCATAACCTCAAAAACTCATCCAGTTGTATTTTTATAGGGTCGCCTGTATGGAAGCCAAGAGACAGTAGTTTAGAGGCAACCTCTACCACTCTCCCGCGCAAGGGCAGAGATCACAGTATGGCCGCGCTAAGCGCTTCGCGTAAGTCTCTCATTGAAACAAGCACTGGCCTGGAGATACACAATACATACAACCAGCAATAAGGCTAACACAGCCTTGCAATAAGGCCCCTATCGCCTTTTAGCCGCCAACCGTTTCTATAGTACAGTGTTGGACGGGTGCTAGAGTACTGGTGATGCTGTTGGTCGCATTTTACCAACATACTGAAGGTATCCACACCAGAGAAAACAAATATTATCGTATTTGTACAGTTGAAAGCACACATTTTCATTACTCTTCAAAGGACCCCTCACAAATCAAACGGAAATTGGCTTTCGGTGAAATCAGCCGAATTTTGGATATGTTGTTCCTTTCGGTGTCCAGATGAAAAGTCTCCAAGGACACGAAGCTCGAAAATCTTCTCTGCGAGCAGTACCCAGCTTGGAAAGTTAGAGACCGGTAATCCCCGATTTTCGCTGATTTTACCTCCACCCCTTTATAAATTGTATTTAGACCATAAAACTTAGAAATAGTTATTTATGAATTAAGCCGGTTATGTTATTCCCGAGTTTTATGATGGCAAGCTTGGGTTTGGAGGGACTTACGGGTCACTCAACGTAGCCGCGGTCAAAGGATAGATAATATTTACCTTATAATTACTTTATAAGGGAATCCCTAAGAGATAACGAATTTGATTGGTTCATTTAAGAATAATTTTGACCTGACGAGTGAAGAGGAGTACAGAGAGATGTACTGAAGGTAGTTCTACTTGAGCATTGAAGACGTGAGTACACTGCTATTCTGTTGACCGTGGATTCGTTATCGAGCCTCTGGTTGTTGACATAAAACACCTCCTTTATTTGTAACGTTTTATTTTGAATTATTTTACGGTATTACTTATTATTTCGTGAAGATGAGTGACACGAGTAGTGATATTAACGCCCAAGTTAGCCCTACGACTCCGACATATATAATATAAGATCAATCAAATTCGTTATCTCTTAGGGATTCCCTTATAAAGTAATTATAATGTAAATGCTATCTATCCTTCGACCGCGGCTACGTTGAGTGACCCGTAAGTCCCTCCAAACCCAAGCTTGCCATTATGAAACTCGGGAATAACATAAAAGGCTTAATTCATAAGTAACTATTTCTAAGTTTTATGGTATAAGTACAATTTATAAAAGGGTAGAGGTAAAATCAGCGAAAACCGGGGATTACCGGTTTCTAACCATCCAAGCTGGCTACTGCTCGCACGGAAGTTTTTCGAGCTTCTTGCCCGTGGAGACTTTTGATCTGGACACCGAAAGGAACAACATATCCAAAATGCGGCCGATTTCACCGAAAGCCAATTTCTGTTTGATTTGTGAGGGGTCCTTTATTAGTCAAGCCATACCTTTTCGTGAAATCGTGAATTTGGAAAAACATATCAGTAGGTCAGTGAGCCATGAATTTCATAACAGTAACGACAGGATAAATTTAGTAAAGTTTTGTGAAACCCATTTTAGTTTATACTTGCATTATGACGACCGACCAGGCAACAAATTTGAATGAATCGATCAGTTTGCTTATTTTCATGGTAAAAAACTGCCAAATTATGAACAAAGTTTAGATATATTATTGGGAGAGACATTTATCTTGAAATTGTGCGGATATGATGTTCGTAAATTTTGTATAATCCTCAATCAGTAGTCGACCTCTTAGGTACTATTACACATTCCAAATATGTATGTATCTGTTTTTGCTGTTTGTCGTAATCAGATGGTCTTGTTGAATGTGCCCCTGTCTTAATTAGCAAATTAAAAATTGATTCCTGAACCGTCAAGATGTGATCCAATACTATTTTTAAAAAATGGAAATTAAATATAAATATCAACCTTACTGATTAAATAGAACCTTCAGAACTTTAAAGTCCTAGCCCCTACGCAATATTGATACTGTGGCAAGTACCTATATTATAAACAAAATGTATACAGTACGAGCCTAAAGTATGGAATAAATTCAGTAAAAACGAAACAAATTTTTTTTGAGAAATATCCTCGAACAGGTCGATTTTTCATTTAAAAAATACATATTTTAGCACAAAAGACGATTTTCAGCAGTCATTTGTTTTCGAGTAATGACGTCATCGATATTTTTTTTAAATAGCAACTCCCTATTTTTTCTTGATTCTGAAAGATCGTTTCATTGTCGATCCGACAGTATTAAAATGTTGCCATCTTACATGGGAAAGTTTTCGAGTAAATGACGATTGAATGTTAGAAAACGTAAATTTTACTCATTAAAAAAAATAACAATTCCTATGTCAAGCAAATACAATTCATTAAGTTTTCTACCTAAATTAAGTGTTCGAATTGCCACCCACCGACTTCTTGACAATACCCAAGTCTGTGTAGAAATTCTTCTTGCACATTATGAATTATTTCTGGGGTAACTCTGTGTATTTCATCTATAATACAATTTTGGAGTTCTTATAAATTAAGTATGTGGTCTATTAACGTACACTTTAGACTTTAAGTAGCCCCATAAGAAATAGTCCAAGGGTGTAAGATCTGGGGATCTCGCGGGCCATTCTATCGGTCCTCGTCTGCCGATCCACCTCCTAGGAAAACAATTATCCAGAAAATCTCGAACAGGGCGCGCATAGTGCGGAGGTGCACTGTCTTGCTGAAACCATATGGTTTCATCAGGAATATCAGGGTCATTATCGTTAGGAAAAATTACTGCAAGCGCTGGAACGAAGTCATTTTGTAAAAACTCTAAATATCTTTCTCCTTCAAAGAAGAAAGGCCCTACTATTCTGTTGTCAACTATTCCAGCCCACACATTCAATTTCTGTGGGTGTTGGGTATGTGTCTCTGCCATCCAATGAGAATTTTCCCGAATCATGTACCTGTAAGTTTGACGGTTCACTGGACCATTGAGACAAAATGTGGCCTCGTCTGAAAAAGTATTTTCCGGTGTAAATCTCTATTTACTTGACATAAATCCATCATAATTTCACAAAAGTGTAAGCTACAGTCGGAATCGTCTTCATTGAGTTTCTGCACAAGTTGAATTTTGTAGGGATGATATTTTTCCTTCCTCAGGATATTGTGGTGTGACTAATTTCATTGTTTAATGCAACCAATCGTGAAGTATTATCTACCATACTTATCAAAATGTTCTGTTTGCGATCTTCACTAACGCTTGAACGTCCAGGTTTTGGAATATCTACAGCATTGCCAGTTTCTCTAAATTTAGATTCTATCTTACTGTTGATTGGCTGATACGGCGATCTGGATGTTTTTCATTAAATAAATCGCAAACTTCCTGCTGCGGTCTAGTCTTATCCCCGCATCCGATAAGAATTAAAATTTCAATTCTTTGTGTGACAGTTAAATGTGCCATAATACTTTAAATTCAACAATAATTTTTATATCGCGTACAATACTTAGAAAGTCGGTATAACAGTGACACTTTGTAAAGATTTACACCTACGTGATCCATAAAAAACTTCAGGCATTTCGAAAAACTAAATTTGATAACGTTTCTGCTTTATTTTAATTGATTTGGGTTTTCTAACATTCAAAAAATAGGGGGTTGCTATTTAAAAAAAATGTCGATGAGGTCATTACTCGAAAACAAATGACAGTTGAAAATCGCTTTTTATGCTAAAATATGTATTTTTTAAATTAAAAATCGACCTGTTCGTTTTTACTGAATTTATTCCATACTTTAGGCGCGTACTGTATGTATCTATTATTTGAAATAATGAAAGGCAAGTCACACTTCGTTTATTCTCGATAATTTTACCCGTAGGATGTGTAGGTAACGACCAATCAGCAAGTATGTCGGTTTTCGACTGTCCACTATAGTTTTGTAATAATTTTGGAAGGAACTATTTTACTCAAGGGGCAAAATCGTTCTAGGATGCCTCAGAAATAAGTGTTATTTTAACAGAACATTGAACACTCAAGAGCAACAACCTTTGTCTAACATTTTTGCAAAGACCACTTCATTTTTAAGATGTTTTTTTTAAATTTTAAATTTGTGTTGCCCGCTACTGGATCATAAGTCGTAGCGCTTGGTTGAGTTAATAATAAATAATAAAAAGAACGAAAAATGGAAACTAATTAATGCTAATATTTATTAATTAGGCTAGCAAATTATTTGAGATAAAGACTTTTTCCATAAAATATTTGCTTACATTACTTATGTATTTTTTTAATCCATAGACAGCTCATTAGCGTTATCTGAATGGGTGGGAAATATTTTGGCACTTATTTCGAAACATCCTGGATTAAATTTCTTAGATTTTTTGAAACATAATAACCATCTAGACAAAATTTTAAAACTTACAAAAGAACCATTTTTAACATTTAAATATCCAAATGATCATTTAAAATCCTAATAATATTACCCATAATCAGTCGCAAACTGTATTTGTAAAAAGAACAATAATAGATAATATAGAAAACTAACCCTCCTGGAAATTAGAATTTGTAAAGTATTTATCTAGGTGCAGATATTTGTATGTCAAAGCATCACCCTTAGATACCCAGTATTGCTTTTTAGGGTTGTTTTTCCATTGTGTTATATAATAAAAAAATGTCAGTTGCTATATTATATTTTTGAAAACAATGCTGTTAATAATCAACTGGTTTTGTATATCAAAATAAACAACCTTTCAATTCTTTTTCACGGAGCCAAAAATTAAAAGGTAATACTAAAACCTGTATTTGCTATATTTATAGTATCTTTTTACCAAAAGTTACCAATTTTAGAATAAAAGCAAACCACTAGCCTTAATAGACTTATGGCATACAAGGCATTATACAAAGCTGCAGCAACATTTATAATATAACTTATACTTTAAATGTTAAAAAATACCTAAGAAATGTAGAATGTTACTAAAATTGGTACCACTGAATAAATATTAAGAAGGTAGAACCAGTTGTATTGGATCAAATTTCTTGTCCAATTTGTCGAAGTTAGGAAATTTGACACAATGGTTGTTACATGTCTCAAAATATAACCATTCCCTTGATCAATCTACTGGTTCAAAGATTGATAACTGAAAAACAGCTTTAAATATGGTAGGACACATAATGATATAAAAATGCAGAGTAATTATAACGAAATA